AGTTGCAAGTTGCAGGGTGAGATGGCTGCTGGTAACAGATAAACCTGTTTTTTTATCATGTCTTGACTCCATGAGGAATAATTCTGCTTGTATCTGGGCGGTTTACAGGAAATGCTTTGGACAAGCCTCTTGTAATAGTACAGTGGAACATCATCAATTTCCCTTTGGGATCAAAAAAGTCTTATCTATCTATCATGCAATAAAATAAGGAAAAGGAGACCTTGTGTGTGGATTTTATTAGACCATTATACTGGCCTGATTCCACAGGGACTGGCTCATGCCTCAACAGTCATTTTACAAAAGGAAACCTTTTAATATTTTGCTCGATTGTTAAAATAATTTATATGCTTCAGAGTATTTTAACAGCTACTGCCTGCTTAAGTGTAGACAAATGATTTTTGGGGAAAACAAAAGCACATAAATACATTAACGTTTTGTTCTGAGTCAAATGCTCTCGGAAGTGGACATAATTTTTGAGAACTTATCTTGGTTTCCTCAAATTTCCTTACATTGTGTTTAAACTCGTTGTTTTCCCATACAGAGTGAACCCATTAGCAGACGCTCTATAAACATAACAACCTGTCACCTCAAATGACATTACATATATTTTCGTTACACTGCTGCCTCAATCAATTCAGAAGGAAAGAAAGAGCCACCCTGAGACTTCAAAGGTATATTCATTCCGTCTCCATGTTCAAAGTGATAATTATCTCACCCCCAGTGCTTCTGCCAACACAGGCTGGATATCAGTGTCCATCCAGCTTTGCCCATCTCTGGCCCAGCTGACCAAAGATAAGCCCACATCAGGGTCTTCCACCGAAAGCAGCTTCCAGGCCTGTGCTGCCCTCTGGTGGTCCCTGGATCTCACTGCCTCGTCGCAGAGGAGGTTCACAGCGTTCTGACAAAACACTGCAGAGCCCACCTGTGCAGACCACAGACACAGCTGAGAAATGCTTCCGGCTACAGTCTGCGAAAACCACACAGCTATGACTAGGCCAAGTCGTTGTATTTGTAAAGAGACACAAAACAACAAAACAAGAGAGGGGGTATATTCACCTGTACTGGTGGCAGTAAGATAAGATCACTTTATTAGCCATGTACAATTCCTCGCAGTAGGAATTTGTCTTTTCACTTACCCTAGCTTGCTCTCCATGAAACACACAGGCACACAGACAGGGAGAGAGAAGCTTGGGGTCAGAGCACAGGGTCAGACATTTATATGGCGCCCCTGGAGCAGCTGGGGTTAAGGGCCTTGCTCAGGTGCCCAACAGAGGATGATTTCTCTGCCAGCTGCGGGATTTGAACCGCAACCTTCCAGCCACGGGAGCAGATCCTTAGCCACAGTGCCACCGCTCCGGCATGCCAAAACAGCTGTTCTACAAAACAGTCACTCTCACCAGGTCTACCTGGTGCCTACCTGTAGCCTGTTCCTGGGGCTCTGGAGCTCTGTCACTAGGCTGGACTGAAGCCGCTCCACAAAGCTCTGCGTGAAGGATCCTGCCAGCTGCGCTGCAACACTCAGGTACGCAGAGCGGATCAGAGGGCACTCCTGGGCTGACGTCGCCAACCACAGCCCGGATTCCAGCTGCTGTGCCAGGCCACGCATGGCATCCGTCTGCGCTCTGCAAGGAGCAAGTCCCTGAGCCTGGCTTTTTCATGGCATCAGGAAAGAGGGACACCCTACTGCTGGCTCACGCTGAACAAAATACATTCATTTCAGATATCATGCCTTTAACAAGGTCAGTAATGACAGAATGAATTACCCAAAGCCCAATGTTATCTTGTCCCACCATCCTCCCCTTTTTAAATGAGTTCTGCACCTGTCCATTTTCCAAACAATTTAGCCCATGGAGGGTCGCAGAGATCCCAGAACCTGTCTTGCCAAGCAAAGTGCTCAAGGTAGGATACAACCTGGACGGGATGCCAGTCCTTCGCAAAATCTGTGTGGCTTTGGACACTAATGTTTCTGTAGGTGACTGCCAGCAGGGAGTCGGTGTGCCCATCCTTTTGGGAGGTCTCTTACCCGTCAGCTCTGAGAGCTCTGGCCAGCAGCGCCCCGATCTGCAGCAGCTGTCCGTGCAGGCCATTGTGACAGCGGGGGGCGTGGGGCTGCAGTAACTGTCCAGCCAGCTGCAGCAAAGTGCTCATGTACTCAGAAGGGGGCGTCATGGCCGCCAATGCTTTGGAAGCCATAACTCTCACGGCGTAGATGGGACTGCTGGCTAGCTGGAGCAGAGGAGGCAGGAACGGGGCGAGAGAGCTAGGGGAAACGCAGGGCACAGTGAAGACATTTTAAGAGCCGAACTTACTCGCCACCTTTACCAAAAGTTAACAGATTTACTATTATCACAAATTCACCTGCAAGTACATATCATGGCCAAATTTCCCATTGGCCCTTACCAGTCATGGCCTCCTAATAATCCCCCTCTATGAATTGGCTTCATTACTCTGCTCTCCTCCCCACTGATAGCTGATGTGTGGTGAGCGTTCTGGCACACTATGGCTGCCATCGCATCATCCAGGTGGATGCTGCACATTGGTGGTGGTAGTGGGATTCCCCATTACCTGTAAAGCGCTTTGAGTGGAGTTTCCAGAAAAGCGCTATATAAGTGTAAGCAATTATATTATATCCGTGCCTTCGTAAGGTATAACATCAAAATATACAAAGCAATAACTTTGAATGACCACAGTGCATATCATAAATACTGGATTTTCACACAGTAAATCACTATTATGTCCATACAGAGCATTAAAAGTGCTGGATTCTAGCAAGCTGACCTAACTTCCAGAAAGATTTAAGGCACATGACCACGAAGTTCTATAATAACCCGTGTAAGTAAGCCACACTGAAAGATTCCAGACTTCACGAGCACAGCGCAGCGAGTATGTGTGGGTCCCAGACCCGGTACCGTGTCTCGTTGTGGGCTCCGGGCTGCAGCTTCGCCAGCAGGGTGAGGACGGAGTGCAGCGAGGGGTGGAGGTGCAGCCTCGCCTCCCCTCTCGCCCCCTGGGGCCCGGCGGCCCTCACGAGCTCTCCCAGGAGGAAGGGCTGGAGCGCGGGGTAGCGTGTGAAAAAGGCCGGGGGGGACATCCCGTGCTGGGGGCACCCGTCCTCCCCCCTCGATCGCTGTCCCAGCATCCGAGAACACAGCGCGCCTGGAAGCATGTGGCATGAGAAAAACACTTCAATCCTGCAGCTCCTGAACCCAGCCTCATCTTCACTCTTTTAATCTGCTGAATGGGGACACCCAGAGGAGAAAAGGTCTCACGGACTCTACGATTCTGCATTTCAAAATAATCCCTAGGTTTCCCCATAACAATTGACTACACTACAATAGGAGACAAAAGCAGTAAGAAACTCATTTTTTTAGGAGTGCAATGAAAAATGAATTTTGTTTGTTGTGCACATACAAATGCAAATGCAAAACAATTAGATTAAGGCTTACTGCAAGTGTCAACGAGGTGTTCAATGCATGTTACTCCTGTTTACTTTTTAGACTGTCAAATGTAGACTTTATAATCAATCAATTAAGTGGTTTAAAAGATAAAGAAGACGGCACTGGAAGAGATCAGAAGGATGCTTTTTGAAGCTGAGGAGGGTGTGGTATTCTGGCTGTGAGGGGGTGTTGTGACTTCCTGTGCTGTTAATGTATGGATGTGGAATATGGCCTCACAGCCCTGTCATGAAGAATGCAGCTGTGCTATGCAGGTCTAAAAACAAAAAAATAGGGTGACAAGCACACAGAAGGTTCCGGACAAGAAAGGTTCTTACTGAAAAGCTGGATGGCAGCATTCCTCATTGCCCAGCAGGGGGAGCTCAGAGTATTCAGCGACAAGATGGTCATGGTTGGAGCAAACTGAAGCACAGCAACTCCCAGCCCCGCGCTTCGCACCAGAGCCTGCAGGGCATGGACAGCACACACCTGGGAAAAGAATATTTTTATAATTCCTTACACATGTATAGCGCTTTTCTGGACACTCCACTCAAAGCACTTTACAGGTAATAGGGAATCCCACTATCACCACCAATATGCAGCACCACCTGGTGATGTGACAGCAGCCATAGTGCACCAGTACACTCCTCACACACCAGCTATCAGTGGGGAGGAAAGCCAGGAAAACAAGGATATATACAACAGGATTTCAAGGGGTGCACAGGCTTTACACGGAACACTGACAAAACTTTAACCATGTCTCCTGGCAACAGTAGAGTTCCCACAGTGCAATGGGAGTGTTATGCCATCAACCCAGTTTCTGTACCTGCGGCAAGTCCAGGGTCTGGTCCCAGTCCTGCGGCAGAGGGGCGCTCGCTGTCTCCAGCAGGCCCGTCATGCTGAGTGCCAGGAGAGGCCGGGCTTTGCTGGCGTTCTCTGCTGCCACGATACTGACGATAAGCATGGGCAGGCCTGCTGCCCTCCGGGTGACTGAACTACTGCGGGGGGACTGCAGCACCGACAGCCCCTGGGGACGAAGAGGAGAACATCATGATTTCCCAAACATGCCAAAACAGAGTTGGAAAATGGAATTTCTAATTCCAGTTTGGGAGCATTCCCAACCTGGTCATGGACACCCGTCAAATCAAAACCTCGCCTATCAAGTTTGGGTTTGTCTAAGGTTGCTTGATCACTTCCGTTTGCCCCCCTGCTGCTTCCTGAGCAGGCCTGTGCAGATGTTTCATGGCAGTATCCAGGACAAACACAGACACACAGCAATGGCCAACTGGGGAAGACAAGTACAGATCCGAGATCCAGAAATACTGTTCGATCCAGAACAAAGAAAGTGCTGCCTGAAGTTCTTTTTTAGCAAAGCCAAGAATTATCCCCTAATCCGTTTTTATTTAGACATAAATCTGAATTACTCAGTCCATGCTGGAGAGCTGGGCCGCAACTGAAAATCTTAAAATCTTTGCACTTAAAAGCTACCTGCTCCAGCATCTGTGCAGGGATTTCCTGGCAAACTGGATCTGGATGATTTAAAAGAACGGCACAAAATCTGGTAAAACCAACACAGCATCCCTCCACCGCTCCCTGGACAAAAGAAGCAGAAAAACAGGAATTAGTTTCTCTCCAGTCAAATGGAGAGCTCATGACGGCACAACATTAATGCCTACCTCAGGGTAACTAATTGCCAGGCAACTTAATAAAGAAGAGTAAGATCACGTGGATAACATCCATCTTGGGATTGCTTCTTACCCAGTGTCGACATTTGAGAAGAATATCCTTGAACACTTTGGCTATCCTCTTCAGATCCTCCATGGTGAAAAGGGACCCTGAAGCAGCAGTGGGTGCTGTTGAGAAGCCTTTCTCCACAAACCGGCCAAGAAAAATGCCAATTTCCTTTAAAAAGCAAAAATGGAGTATTTTAATTCTCCACATAACTTAAGTTTCCACAAGCCTAGGAGTTGGCAGCCATTATTAATGTGCATTATCAGAAAACAGTTTCAGATAGAGATACGCCTTTTTAAGGCAAAAACCAGGAGAGCCAGGGTAAAGCAATGCGTTCATAAAGACAGTCAAGCACACGGTGGTGGAGTGTCTTGTGTCTGGTCCTCATGGTGCTGCGGAGAGGAACACTAGGCAGTCATCCCTCACCTTCAGGGAGACCCAGCAGCACGTGAGAACGAGGCTGTGCTCCTCTGACAGCAGGACGCAGCCCTCCTCCTCCTCCTCGCCCCGGGCGATGACCGAGCGGATGGCTTTCCCCATGTCGCAGAACGAGGGGGGGGCATCTGGAAGACAGGGGGGCAGTGAGAACCGTTGCATGCTTCCGTCTCTTTCCCCACAAATAATTTGTTGGCTTCCACAAACATTCGATGACATGACAGCGCGTAACAGTAGAGTTTAAACCATTTTAAAAATAAAGGAAATGCCTGGACTCCGCCCAAAAAGTATTTTTAGGGAGATAAATATTTGGTGATGTTTAATTGTAGCAATAACCCCCCTAATTAGAGGAACACTTAATATCTTTTTTCTGTCACTTTTCCCAGCTGTTTCACTCAATATCTGGTGTAGCTATGTCTGCTCTTCATCGCTGACTGACGCCTGCCTCCATTCCTTGGGCCCTTGGTGGTGGTGGAGGGGAGTCCCCATTACCTGTAAAGCGCTTTGAGTGGAGTGTCCAGAAAAGCGCTATATAAGTGTAAGCAATTATTATTATTATTATTATTATTATTATTATTATTATTATTCCCATGCCTCCTCCAGGAGCCCTGCTGCAGTGTGCTCCACTCCGGGCGCAGCCATTCGAGATGCAAAAGTGCTTCACGACCCTTGAAGTGTTTGTCTGTGCCTCGCTGCAGCCTGATCGTACAGCACAGGTCTCCTGACACAGGCCTTGAACCTTCTCCCATCACTCTCGGCTCCAGGGGCCTTACCTTGCTCCTCGGCAGCTCCAGCTGGGTCTCCGTACAGCACCCCCAGCAGGAACAGGCTTATCTTCTCCACCGTCTCCAGCAGCCTCGGGATCAGGTCTGGGCCCCCGGGGCTTTCTTCAGCTTTTTGTATGGATGCGAAAGCATCAGGGGGCTCCAGCAGGCATCTCTGCAGCGCGATGAGAACCCCTTGGAAAGACAAGCAGGAGCTGTAGCACGATGGTGGTAGTAACAGACACAAATCGGACACGAAAGCAGCCGTCCTCAGCAGTCTTCCTACAAGTGACTTGGCTACCCCCTCTTGAAACTCAAAACCTTACACAGAAGGCTTGTATTCTAACTCCAAAACAAGCTTGGGAGTTTTACAGAGGCAGCTGGTATTCAGCTTGGAAAAGTTAGCTTCCCATCGGTGAAACCAGGCCTTATTATCGGACCTTAATTTGCCTGAATTATGCCACTGGAACTTACCATGTATAGGGTTTGTTCTGGCAGCATGCAGCATGTCTCTTCTGGCGGCAAGGTGCTGCTGTTCCAGCTCCTGGAGCAGGTACAAGACCATAGACAGCACCTTTACCTCCTGCGTGGGAGCCCTCTCGTTCTTCCCCTTGCAGGCGGTCTTCAAGACCGATGAGAGCTCATCTGACCTTCAGAAGAAATCAAATACTATGGCTGCAGTGGGAATGGCAAAACCGATTTGATGTTTCAAACATCAAAATAACCTTACAAAATCACTTGTGTTTTTCACTTCCTGCCCTTGCTGTTCCATCCAGCTGGAGGTTTGCTCAGATGGTTTCAGCCTCTGCTGCAGATTTCAAAAGTCAAACAGTCCTTTAGAGATTTGGAATTGTACTCCATGGCCTCAGGCTCCTCAAGTTTTAAACTAAACTAAACGTTTACCTTTAAAGCAAAAAAGGTTTGGTTTTTACCGTCCCTCGCCCCTCCTGAAGTGCTGCATGCCCACAGTTCTAACCCCACTTTCTGTGCAAAGAGCCGATTAACGTGCATCATCGTTGTCAACTCCTCTCCACTTACTTCAGGAGGACTATCTTCATCGCAAGAGCCCCCGCTTGGGCGTCCTGCACCCGGGGGCTGCGCATGAGCTTCTGGGCACGCTCGAACAGGGGAGGGCTGAGGTCCCGCGGGAGAAGAGGGGGGAAGAACCTCAGGAGCAGCTCGGCGGTCAGCTCGCGGATCTAGAGAGGAAAACGGGACCCTGCGACATCCGGTCTGCCTATATCCTCCCTTCGTTTCTGACTGACTGGCCCCTCTCCAGCTCAGCCAAGCCAGAAAATGATTTTAGAGGTGCATTATGTGGAAGTGCATTTAAAATGGAGACCAGGAGGCACTTCTTTACCCAGAGGGCTGTAGGAGAGTCTGGAATAAGCTGCCCAGCCATGCCCTTGAAGCCAATTTATTGGCTTCTTCCAAAAAAAAGCCGGATGAGATCCTTGGATCAATTAACTACTAACAACCAAACAAGCGAGCTGGGCCAAACAGTCTCCCATCGTCTGCGATTATTCTTATTTTCTTATTCCGTACTGTACTCTTATCGTATACTGACACATACAGTATGTGGGTTTCAGGAACACCAAGCAAAAAAAAAAAGACTCCCGTGAGCTGGGAGCTCCACTCTTTCAGGCTGCCCTGAGCACTCTACCTCATTGGTGCCGTCCTCCAGGCAACGAAGAAGGACCAGCAGGTTTGTCCTGCAGAAGAAGTCCCACTGCCCTCTCTGCCTCGTCCAGCGCAGCAGGGCCGACATGTCGACTGCACGAGCAAGGGCAGCACACGCAAGGAAGAATGAAAATACCAAATCATGACGATACGCAAAAAAAAAACGTTCAGAACGCGACACGTGCAACAGCTAAAACTCTGGGACATGTGAACAGGATACCTGAACGCCTGCACGCTACACAACAAGTACAGACCCTGGCCTGCAGGTGAATGGTTACTTTAGCTTTTTGAGTTTTAATGTAATTAAAAATGTTCAGAAACGTCTAAATTGCCAGATTTGGTCGAGCTAAACAATTGAAATTAAGAACTGTGGAAGAATGAAATGCAGAAGGGCCTGAAGGCTCTACCCACAGTACCTCCATGCTGCCACTGACCTGGAGGCTGACCTTTCTTCTTCTCTGGGCTCCAGCTGTCAGTGCAGGTTTCCAGCACAGCAGACAGCAGGAGCAGAACTGTCTTTTTCCTCTGGTAATTAAACCCAGGAGCCAGATAGCAGAAGCACAACTGTGTCAGCCAGTCCACAAAATCTAGAAGAAAGATTCACCGGCTTACAACCACTGCTTGCATATTCTTAGTGATTAGAAAACACGTCATCAGATAGCAATTACACCACCGGAAACATGTTTTAGCGAGGTATTTTAAGTGTGCAAAATACAATCATGTTTCAATTTCATTTTCAACAAACAAAAGAGTCAGTTTCCATAGATCACTCTGAACTACCATTTAACATTTTTTGCCATCTTAGGATATCAAGTAAGCAAATGCATGCTTGTTTTCAGGAGAAACCAACTCATGAGACAACTGTACTAACTTCAAAAGAACAAGAAAGGACAAAACAAATTCCCTGTGGAGTTTTGGATGAAGCTGCTTATTTTAAATGCAAGTTTTTATCCCATCTAGTGCAAGAGGTCCAGATAATGGAAAAATAAAATGCATGCTGATTAATGAGTAAAAAAAAAAATACTGGGCTTTCTTTACGTTTAAAGTTGAATTTCATACTGTTTTTTTCATTTCATTGTATGCATATGTGTATTGTAGCAAACAGATATCTGTTTTTTTTCTTACAGAATAAAAACTCCCATCGTGCAGCTAAAATTTTGCCCTGCCAGGGTCAAAAAGAGTTCACTTAATTGTGACCGTTCCTGAATGCTGATGAAAGGAGAGAGCTGGATATTTCCCCCGACGGAACAATGGCACTCCCTCTTTGAAAAACTTTTTGTCACAGTTGGCAAGACAAATTGAGCAGTGGCTGAACACTTGGCAAGCAAATCCACTTAACATTTGCTCGCGAAAACTTCACTGCTAAAAAAGGCCCAACAGGCAACCTGTTACAAGCACATTCCAACCAGAATTCCTATGGAATCCCAACAGATTAGTCTGAATTCCCAGCACAGGCGCAACAGGAGACAGGCAATGGACCCAAGAGTCTCCCATTCTGAGAGCAAGCCTCAGCACAAGCTGAAGGGAGAGAGATTATCTGTGCATCTTTTAGGGGATTTGCTCTGAAAGAACTGCCCTTCCTCCTTCAGAGTAAAGCCTATCTGCCAAGAAAGCGGAGTTTACTTTGGTATCGGACTGACAGACCTCTACGTAAGGAAACAAAACACCTTCATCTTAACCTGCAGGACTCTCTAGCAATAAACTAAAGCCCCCTAACAACTAAGCAACTTGACAGCAACGAAAAGTGGTGGGATATAATTAATGTGGCACAAGGAATTTCTCACCCAAAATGTGACACACACCAGAATTAGTGAATACGACCAGTTCTGAGAAGAACTGACCAAAACATTATTAAAAAAAATAGTGACTTTTCAAACATAAAGACGTTAAAACACTGCATTTGCATAATGATATTGAATAGTCATAAAAACAACAAAAGTATAGTGAATTTCTATACACTGTAACACTGCAGAGGTGAAGTCACTTGAATGTTTCGGATATGGACCCACAAGTCCAAGTCCGTCCCCGTGCTTTTCTCACCTACACCCCGAGCAAGGACCAAGTCCTGCTGCCCCTCGTCTCCACCCCCTCTGGCCTCCCGCTCCTCCTTTCCCTGTCGGCCTCTGAGGCAGGCCAGGCCGCTGTCCCGGATTCGGACCAGGAGCCTCTTCACCCCGGCCTGGAAGTGCTGCCGAAAAGGGGAGGAGTCGCTGTTCAGGTTCAGGGGGATGAAGTCCCTCATCTCCGACAGCTCCAGCTCCGTCGGGGGCTGGCTGGTTTTGGGGCCGCAGCAGAGGAGGCTGACGGCGGCCAGGCGGACGCTGTCGTCCAGAGAGCCGAGGGCCAGGCGGAGAGTGGACAGCAGATCCCTGCTCAGGGGTGAAGAGCCCGTCACTGTCCTCTGGACGCTCAGCAGGCTGGCCCAGGCACGGAGGTGCCCCGAGCGCGTCAGGCTAATCCGCCCCTGCAGGATCTCGAAGGCGGCTGGGAAAACACGCAGAGTCCAGGGCAGGAGGTAACTGGAGGCGTTGTTCTGCAGGAGGGTCAGGTCCGAGGTCAAGGCCTCCAGAAGTGTGGGGTACCAGCGCTCGGCCCAGTGCTCGGCCAAATCCTTTTCTGAGGGGGACGGGTGGTTATTCGCCACGCACAGCTCCTGCCTCTGATGTCGGATCAGCGATTTATAGACCTCGGAGGCGCAAGGAGACAAGTGATTGGTGGAGAGGCACTTTAAAAGCTGACGAGGGAGATCAGCGAAATATTCCAGTACCTGAAAAAAGACAAACGTACACTACAGTCCAGGATCGAAACAGGCGTGTAACAGACAGGACTAGATATTGACTGATGACACATTTAGACCATCTGCATTGCAATAACTCTTAGAATGCTGCCCTCGCTTTCAATAATCAGTCAAATTCTGTTAGGATTATGCAATTGCACAGAAAGCACTTCAATGAGTGTACAAATTATCTTTGTTTTTGACGGCATAGTACTCCTTTTGAGAACTAAGAAATGACTGTACCTACCCTGTTCGTACCAACATAAGGGAGCAGAGCGCAGAGAGGGAAGTATTTTGCTTTGGCCTCCCAAGGCAAGGAGGTGATTCGGTGTAGTAATGAGGTGTAAAGAGGCTTTCCTTCTTCAGTAAAGTGTTCACACTCCAGCTCATAAATCTCCAGCAGCTGACGGAATGAGCTATGTACAAATTCAGAGATGCCTTCTACCTGGAGAGACAGGAGGTTAAGAAAAAGGAGATCCCATGCATATCCTGCATTGTACTGAGGACCAACATACAAAGTTAAACACTGTTGTAGACTTTCCTTAAATACAAGTAATGCTGGGGAAAACTGAAGAAAAATATTAATTTTATATTATAAACATTAATCTACATATCAGAGTCCAGTGGATTGTCATTGGAAAACTAAATCATAAATGCTTCTTCAATTTTATTTAGTTATTTATTTAACTTAACTCCTGGAAAATGTAGTTGCAGAGGGGAAATGTATCATGGATAGAAAAAAATGAGAAACCAAAAATGTTCCCCACTTCAAAAAATTGGCCTTGAACAGGTATTGTTCAACATTTCAACATCTTAGTTTCTTTGTTTTCTGGACTGAAACAGATGAAAAGACTAACTGGGCTTTCTGCGTTGTTCCAGATGACTGTGCTGAGTTGTTGTTGCAGACGTGAGTTCTCAGATAACAGAGGAGTCCCTCTCATCACCCACACATCCTGCAGGCTCTCCTTCAGACTCCTCAGCCACATGGCAAAAACTGCAGAAACCCACAGAAAAGCTCAAGTCAGGCTCCAGCACTCCATGCCAATGTTAAAGGCATCTTAGCCATTACTGGCATTCATCTACGAATTACAAAGATTATTACAACACTTTCAACTTAACAACCCCCTGTAAAATGCTTTGTGTTCCTTTTACAGTATTGCATTTTGTAAAATGTCTTATTCCCAGAAACCCGACTAGTGCAGAAAACAGTCTAAATCCCTAGCACCTTCACAGAGCAGATTCAGAGTCTTTATTGTAGCCTCCTCTACCTTGGAAGATGTAATAATGACAGTCCAGATTCTCCTCACATAAACCAGAGATGACAGGAAACACTCCATCCAACAACAGGCAGGTCTGAACACAGAAATCAAGATGCACTCAGGGAAAAATAATTATACATAAAAACAGAACTCAGACAGTACTTCTTTGGCACTAGCATGAAACAATGCAGTAAGATCGGACAAAGGTACAGTGCAGCCAGTTTTGAACTATTCTTTGTTCATTATACAGTACCTTACTAAACATACAGGTGTTTGAACTGTTAACAGATGCCTTACTTTCACTAGAGACAAGAGCAGACTGACAGGGTTACTGAGAAGTCTAAAACGTGTGTCACTTTTATCTATGAGATGCTACAAAAATTAACAAATGTTTACTATCAAAAACTTAACGATCAGTTGAAGATCTAATTTCCAAGCTACGGTAATCTGGAATCAGCAAGATCAGAAAGATCTCACAGGAGCAAGTCCATCAAGCTTGCCCGTTTTACAGTAATGAAGGTTCACTGTAAACATGAAGGAGAATTAAACCCAGTGCACATTAACAGTTGTACCCCTTTGTTTTCCAATGGGCTCAACAAAATGTCCTTCCTGCAGCAAGTCAATAGGCCTCTTGTCACTGCCAGCCTGTCCACACCGTCTCGGCTCCGAGCCCGACAGGCCACAGTCAGGCTGCCCACACGCAGCATCTGGGAATCTGGAACAACAAGAGGGGACAGCAGATTTACACACAGACACAACACACCTTCCACTCAACTGAACTGAAGAGTTAAACATTTAGCACCAGTTTAAGGCCTGAAGACAAACATAAAAGCAATAGAACAATCATAACTTAATTAAAGGATCAATCAAGGATTGATCTTTTTAAAAAAAATCTCCTGCACTGATTTTGATGGACAGACACCATCAGAACACTTCAATTCACCACCTCCCCCCATTAAAACACTTTCAAATCCAGGTCTTCACGGGGATATAAAGGTGGGTTAACGAGGTTCTGCGCTACTCGCTAATGACTCATCAGGACACCAAGGCCTGCACGGACACATTTTTCCCAGCTCCAGCACTCACCTGTGCTGGCGAGCTGCAAGAGGCTCAGCACTGCTGCTCCTCCATCCTGGGCCTGCGGCGCAGTGTTCATCGCCATGGCAACGGCGGTCCCAGCCAGCAGCCGGGTGTCTCTGTTTGAGGACTGAGAAGGAGCACAATACGGTCCCACTTGAATACCAATCAACGGTAAAAACAGGGGAACAGGAGTCCAACAATACAAAGAAGCCACAAGTTAGTTTGAATGGTGATGTTTACAACTACTGCTTTGACATGTTAAGGGACAACATGATCATAAGGTCTTCTAAAATAAGGCCAGTTGCAAAAGAAGGGCAGTCAAACAGAAGTTCAGTTTGTCATTTGCTTCCTTGCGTTTTGAGACCTGCAGTATTAGCAATATTGTTATTTTCTAAAGAGTTGATGCCTTCAAATTTAGGACAGATGAAAAAGAAAAATACCTCTCCCAAGACGATGTTTAACAGGTGTTTTAGAATTCTTTCTGCAACTGGATTCCACGGGTTCTCCTCCCAGATCAGTGGAGCCGTCTCTTCTGGCAACAGCTGGAACATCTGTAAGCAGACCTGGGAGTGGTGCAATGGTTAATTTCCCGCTGATGAAATGAGCACAGGTCATGATACAGCCTATGCAGTGTACACCAACTGGCAAACAATCTTCAGCCCAATTTACAGCCAAAAAAAACCGTGCAAAAAGAAGGAAAATAACGGGCACATTACGTGCTCCATGCTGTCACAACCTTCACTGCGAGGTAGCAGTGCTCTCCGTTTCTTGATGCCTCCTGCTCCAGGATCGATGGAAAGGTCTCGGCTAGTTTCGACAGGAGAGGAAGACAGGATTTCCTCCAGACTTCACGGCCCGCGGAGCTGTCCTCCAGAAACAGGCACACTGCCCGAAACACAAGCCAAAACATTAGAGGGTGTACTCCACTGTGGATCACTTTCAGAGGACAAATGAGGAATGGTGAACCTGCCCTGCCCGTGACAAGATGTTCTACATGCGTGTCAACAACATTGCAATGACGTGGGCTGAACACCACATTTTACAATAACTCTCTGAAAATAGATCTGGCAGGAACACTTCTAATGGTATAATAAATACAATTTCCCTATTTAATACCGTGCTAGGTTTAAAACTGCAAATGCACTAAATGCTGTGAAAGGCACATGAAAAATGTCCCTTTTAATATATAAACAGAACACCTAAACAAAGCAAAAGTATCTGAGACTGACCTGTGTGGAAGTCACTGACAGATAAAATCTGAAATGAAGAAAAAGACGAAAGGAGAACGAGTGATCAAAAACCATCAACTTTCATACTTCTATTACACATCCTGACCTCGATTCAAGTTATATAGCCATAGCATTCAGCAAAGTAAAAAGATATTATGGACGAATTACCTCACACAATCAGTAAGTTTTACATTAGCCTGACCTGAGTGAAGTCCACTGTGCTGCTTAAACACGTCTGTATCGCCTCAAAAACAAACAGCTGATTGCCCTCTGAGAGTTTCACCATCATCTGCAAATCAAAAACACCCAACCATTTAAACTGTGCGTCTGAAAAACAGGATTAAAAGAATAAAACTGCAAATCAATAAAACACGAAGAACTGAAAGAGAGAAGAATATAGTTTATTACTGAAGACCTCCAGTTTGCAGCAGACTGGTGAAATAAAAAAGATGTCTATCTCTAGATCTGCATGCAACATGCCGAATAAATTACTCACCTCTCCTTTAGGACAGCGCTTTCTAGGCACTATAAAAATCTAAGCGGCTCGCTCTCAGTTATTCCACTTAAAGACTCACCATCAGCCTCAACAAACATGTATTTATAAACCCCAACATTAAGAGTCTCTCACCCTAGTCTTTTGTCTTAGTCATGTCTGGTTCGTGCAAACCATGAAAGGCACCAGTATTGTAACTGGCTGGTTCTGCACTGACAGGAATAGGAGCAAACTATCGAAATAAAAACAGTTCAAACTTAAAAAAGAGACAACATTTGGTAAACCGGTAAACCACCCATATAAGAAAAACAGTACAGAGTCATGGGTCCTGCATACCTGGTCCAGCTTGCGGAAGGCAGTGGAGTTGTCGAGTGATTCCAGTTGAAAGGCAAGAACCAGCTGCACCAGAAGACCGAGGTGCTCGTTCTCCAGAGATGACAAGTCCTGACCAGTAAGCCTCTTCAGTTTCAGCAGAGCCTCCTCCAGGTTCCTCTCTCTTGAGCGTTTTACAGAACTCCTGCGTAGTTACAGCAAGCACCACTCGAGAGATTCTCATATATACAGTATATACACATACTGTACACATTTCCTTTTCCATAAACTGTTTCTCATAGGGTGTCCCTTTGCTTCCAGAATCAAGTCAGTCAAACCTATGTCATCCAATCGGCTCTTCAGAGTGACGCTACTCGCCACTGAATGGCTGTCAGTGTGCAATCTCTCAGGATACGCAGCTCCGGAATTTGTAAATGTAATACAGCACTTTTGGGGCAGCATAGTGGAAAAAGCCTGTATGTTGGTCTCATGGCGTTCTACGATTCTGTGCATAAGCATTATTGCACATTTATACATAAAAGGACATCTGCTATTATAAAATCGCGTTTTCTCATCAGAAGAGAAAGGGACAGGTTTCTAGGCAATAGTTATGCCCACGTGAAAAAGAAAGTGTGTCCTGTTTTGTTTGGCATGCTCGAAAAACCAAACCATTTTGCTAAAAAAAAAATATTTTTTAACGATAAAATCAACAACTTACCTCGCACATTCTATGAGTTTTTCAAGGAAGGTAATAAGTTTATTCCTGACATCTACAGGTATTCTCGCGTCTGTGTTCTTAAAGAATAAAAGGCATGATTCAGATTGTTTCTGCGACGATGCATCCTGAAACATGTTTTATAATCGCAGCTGAACTGTAAATATTAAAAATGTGTGCACAAATCACACACACGCGAAATTAAAATACACATGAGCAGGACTACAGTAGAATAATCAAGAGCAACATAAACCAAACGCGTAAGAATAGGGTTATGAAATTGTTCTTGCGCCTCCTGTCTGCGTGGCTGCCTTAGGGATACTTGACGCTGAGAAATCCCTAAACTAATGTTCCGATTTAATAAGGCTTTGGAAAATCACCGGTCTCATCATTCCACACGTTCTAAGGTATAAAAATAACATGTATTATTATTGAGATATCTTGGCACTCTATACATAAGAAAAAATATAAATATATATTGTTACAAATAGAACACAACATACATTGCGTTGTCTATATTTATGTTTTAGTTTGATCTTTTATTTAAGCATTACAATTTTTACGGATTTTAAGAGCAATCAATTTTATGATTCTGTGTGAACTGCATTTCATTATTGAAGATTTAAGTAAAAACATATTCACAAGAAGAGTATGTTTTTCAAAATGAAAAACACCAAAAGCCCCTACCTTGGCATTTGAAAATAGTTCATAGTTTCATTTGTGCTAAAATATTTGTGCAAAGAAGTCCAAATATAAATTATATATATATATATCATTTTATATAAGAATATGGCATTTTAGAACGTGTTACTGTAGAAAAATAGAAAATGTCTGAATCAGAGATGATACACTGATTTTCCAAAGAACAATAAAAAGAACAGATTCTTTTTCTCTACCTCTTATTCTAGCGGAAGGATTGTATTTCTTTAGACCACAAATATGCTTTTGTTGGAAGCAGAGCCAAAGGAGATTAGTTGATATTAATCCCCTGTAATGGTTTTACCACTATTTGAACCAATACAGAAATGATAAGACGTTTGCCTTTATAAATCGCAAAGTGTGCAGATAGCATCAACCTAGTTTGAGTGACTATTACATCAGCAATCCGCTGGCTATTAAACTCTGGTGAATGGAATGAAAAGATGTTTATTGTTATCAGGTTTTGAACCCCCTTATCTCCAGAGCTTAGGGATAGATTTTCCAAATCCAATAATTCTTTGATAAAAAAGAGGTGTATTGCTTTATATGAAATAAAGGATTTCCAACTGAAAAAAACTACAATCCATGAAAGTTTGCCTGTTAGTACCATTATATTTTTTTTTTGTCAGAAATCCCACTGAATAAGTATGTTCCATCTGTAAGGATAATACCTCACAACATAAGCTTGAAAAGTTCCCTTATATATAGCTGTTCTTTGATTCTGAAAAAGATACATGTTGAGGCATTCGTTCAGTTAAGAGAATCCTTTAATTTGTACAGCAATCAAAAATAAAATAAAAAGTAAAAGATGCCTGATGAAGACATTTCAGATCTGAAAAGCCTCCACACTTCTCAAGCAAATGATCTTTGTGCCAACAGGTGTGTGTGTGTGCATTTTAATTCTGTTCAGGCACACAGCTGCAAAGTCCAGCACAGTTATCAGTGAAAAGTGTAGTCATTGTGGATGCAGAGCATGTGAGCCTCAGATATAAATTCTAATAGTTTCTTGAAGCCGGGATCTGAAGTTTAAAGGGCAGTGAATTCAAACACTGTGATTAATCCTCTGGCCAATACAAAGGGGGCTTTTAATCCCTTTAAGCACTAGACGCTTCTTGTGCTGTAGTGGGACAACTGCTTTGCAAATGAACAGTATTAAAAAAAGATGAGTTTCACAAGATCTAGTTGCAGACTGAAAAAAATATTTCTGGAGTGTGATAACAGTTGATAATTGTGGGGATGCAGACTGTGCAATTTCGATTCTAATTACATTGTTATTAAGGATATGCTACAGATGTTGTCAGCAACAGTTGCAATTTAAAAGCACGCTGTGTGAGTCTGGAGTGGAAATATATAAGTAAGGTTACTAATGAGAGGAGATCATTTGGAAGTTACTAGTTATTTCATCCAAGGATCACATCCAGCCATTTCCTGAAAGATACTGGGATCGACATGGCTGGGTAGCTACTTTTATACTTCCACACTCCTTAGGGCACAAAAAGTGTCTTCTGTTTCAGATTTAAATGCACTTTCACACAGTTTCCACATGTGCCCCGGAATATGTGTATCAGGTGCACTTGTAGTTTTCACTAAAAAGGTAATCTGGTTACAGTATCTTACATTTACACACCTTTAACAGCAGCAGCATATTGAAAACCTTTTCATCTGCATGCTGTTCTGTTTTGCACAGTGCTACATTTCGAAACAAAATTGCTGGAATTGCTCCTAAACCAATTTTTTCAAATACAAATGTTTATCGATATGGACAGATCATTTTTCTCCCTGAATCCTGATTGAAAGTACCCCCAGGGTATCCTTCGTAGACTAAGTGACACTGTGCTTCTGCTACCTCTCAGTGTTAATGTTAGTTTACCTCCATTATGAGATACAGAACCTACCACATCCATTACAAATCTAGAAAACGAGATTAAAATGTGAGCATGCAAAGGTCAGTTTTTACCAGAAAGGCTTGCCAAACGGCACACAGCAGATGCAACTTGTGCGCTGAGCAGTGATACTCAGCATTGCAAAAGCTCTGTTGGGAAATCCTGCCATTTATGCTCATGCCACTTTCCCTTTATTTCACACACAGGGACAATTTAATGCATGCCCTCACTGGGTCACGGAAGACTTACTTCACTTTGTCTAAATAACACCTTGCAATATATGAAATGATAAGTGCCTTTCTAAAGAATATGTTACACAGATAAAAAAAAAACAGCCTGTTTCTTAGGACTGGAATAGAATGTGAATCTAATGTCAGTTTAAAAAGAGAATCTCTACTCCCTCAATACCACTTCTACATTTAGATTAAAAAAAAGGTTTCATACAGTCTACACCTGTAAAATGAAAGGGTTAATCTTCTCAGCTGTTCCTACTAATTCCCATTTTTCAGTCTATTTCTCTCTCTTTCTAACACCACCACAATAAGGATCTTAGTAGTTCTCTATCCTAATTTAAGAGGGAGAAATCAGATTTCCTTTTGGAAAGCAATGGAGTAGGATTAGTGAAATCTCACATCCTCGCTAACCCCTTAACAAAACTGGCCAGATTAGCTGGAATTTATTTTCAACTGCCTTTTTTTTTTTTCCTGCAGGAGGATTATGATTTTTTTTCCTCCCTTTTTTCAAGTCAACTGCACTTATAAAGGCAGTGGGGATGCCTGTCGAGAGTGAAAAGACCACCGCAGAAAGGAGAAGGGACGGGGTTTTGTTTTTTTTTCACCTTACATTTCCCCTTTAAAGAGCAGGACTAAATGTGACCTGAAGTCCACAACTCTGTTTCACTTTAGGGGTGCAGAGCAGCGGAGGTGACCCCTTTATGAAGTCACTGTCTCCTGAGCTGGCATGGAACCTGGGAAGACTGCAAAGAGGACGTTTTCGTTCTCCATCGAAGACATTCTAGCCAAGCTCCCAGACAATGATGGAGTCCGGGAGGACACTGGTGTTCCCCTGTCTGTCATCTGCATGTCTGCAGAACAGTCCAAGGAGGAAGTGGTGTTGAAGGTCATACCTGTCTCTCCTGCAGAACCTCAGGACCATTCCTGCTACTGCTGCTGCTGCTGCATCCAATGTGGTGAAACACCAGTTCCAGAATACCCACCTGCCACTAGTAAGTCTCTTTCCAAAACTGATGCTTGTGCAAAACAGTGCGTTGAGGCATCTGAGGTCAAACCAGATAGACTGACTAGTTTGTTGATTGTTGAACATCTAGAAAACTTGGGTAAAAATAAATTAAATGAGTAATAAAAAAATAGGATTTGCTTCTTGAGGCAAATAATCTGTTAGCAATGCAAAATTACTGATTTCAAAACGAGCATGTCAATTAAAAGCAACATGTTTCCTAGAAAAGGGGAGGATAAAGCAGGATAAATATTAGAACTCAGTGTTTTCTTTTCCTAAAATAAGACAGTACAGAAGGTTTCTTCAAGTGATGACCTCTTTTCTTTCTGTTCTGTAACAATGAAAATTTATTTGATTTATGGAGTTTCAATGTATTACATTCAAGCTACTCTGTCATCACAGTTCTGTAACCTCAAGTCAAAGTAATAAGACTATTTTAAAACTCTTTAGCCTTCTTTATTTGGGTAATTGCACAGTTCTTCAACAGCATCTGAACAGCATTTGCTTAATAATTGCTCTGTAATTCAAATAACTAATGAGTGCTCTAGCAGGTAATGAACATGCCACTCACAGGAAACTGAGCCCAGTGGCTTTAAAATCTGCTTCACCTGCTGACACTCTGTTCAGGCTTCTGCCAGCCTTCCACTCTCCATGCTTCACCAGAGCTGTGTGCTGCAGCTTGCCAGGTGCTGTGGGCCAGAAGGCTGTTCCCGGACTGTCCCCCGGCCGGGGACGCTCGCTCCCCCACCCGGCTCGAGGAATTCTTCTTCAGCCAGATCCAGAGACGGACTCGCCGCCACCGGACCATCTTCACGGAGGAGCAGCTGCAGGCGCTGGAGGAGCTGTTCCGGCAGAACCAGTACCCCGACGTGACCACCAGAGAGCAGCTGGCCGCACGCACCCACCTGCGAGAGGAAAGGGTGGAGGTGGGTACTCCTTAGGGATCTGAGGGCGTGGGAGAGGGAACCTCCTTCCGCTTCCCCTGGTGTTCAAGATTTCAGGGAATCAGGAATTCTAAGACATCTCAGTCCCTTAAGCCTCATTTTCTGAAACTGTTTGCTTACAAGTTAGTTAGTTGTATGACCAGCATCTCCTTCACATTATTTCCAAAGTGCCCTGTAAACCGTGGTGAATAACGGTTCTTTTCAAATAAAAGAATTGTACTGTTACACATTGCAGTATGTCGCTCGAGTGCTTCTCTTCCTCTCTGCTTTAATGCAACGGTCAAAAATCCCCAGTGAATACAAGAAAGGACAATTCAGTATAGTCTGTCCACTAGAGGAAACAGTTTGTCTGAACTGATCCATTAGAAACTAGTGGCTGGCACTGCTGTCTTACAGAAGTTGGGCTCTTGGTTCAATTCTGGGCCCAGGGTTCTATCTGTGTGGAGTTTGCATGTTCTCCCCATGTCTGTGTGGGTTTCCTTTGGGTATGCTGGTTATCTCCCACGGTCCAAATACTGTAAGTTAGTTGGCTTCTGGGAAAACTCGCTCTGGTGTGCGTGTGTGTGTGCCCTGTGATGGACTGGAATCCACCTTGAACCCCACCTTGTGCCCGTTGCTTGCTGGGATAGACACTGACTCCCCGTGACCCTGAATTGAATCGGTGGATGATACAGTAGAATAAGCTTAGCATTTTTGTGTGTAAATTTAGGGTACTAGTTTTAAAAGAACTGAGAAGTTGAACAGTTGCATAATTTCAGTGTGATATCAGTGTCATGACCTCTTTTTTACAAATTTCAGGTGTGGTTTAAGAACCGCAGGGCCAAGTGGAGAAGACAAAAACGCATGACTTTGGCTTCAGGCGACACAGACCATTGGAAAATCATCGAAAACACAGACTGAACATCAAGTTCTCCACACACTAGAATCCTGCAATGATTATTTATAGTGCAGGATCGGATCCTACACCCACCTGGACCTGTTTAAGTTTTTTTTGGTATGGAATACTGTGTTTCCCAATGTGTTGAGTCTGATATCTGAATTTCAATAGCTGACGGAGGTTTTAAGCCTTACACAGATGCAAACACTTTGATAGTTTTAATAACACAAGCCAAAAATATGATGTTCCCCTCTGTCAAATTTTTTGCTTAATTAAAATGCTCCAAACAAAATTATTAAAGATATTCCAAAGACTTCAAAAGCAGCACCTATTAATTATATTAGACATACAGTAGATGTCTTCTGATCAAATGTAAAATAATCCTACATCATGCAATTTTATTGAGTTTATGTAAAATTGTCTTTGTTTCCTCCTGTGTCTGCTTTACATTCCCATTAATTTATGATCATGGATTGAAAACATAGCATTAAAAAATTAAAAACCAGTATGTGTTTGTGACTGTTTCATATACTATAATGTATTGATGACATAATATTTAAATCTCCATATGCTTTTTATCCCTTTAACTCATCACTATTCCCATAAAGTATATAATAAAACATGCTATACCATAGTTACTCTGAGATGTCAAAGTACATTATTTTAATATATAGCTTACACAAATATTTCACTTAATGGCAGTGTTTCTAAGGACTGGTAATACTGGTAATGTATTAACAATATAATACATTTTCTATTGAAATATTTTTGTATTTAATATCGCAAAAACATTGAGACCGATATATTTGGTTTAGTTGCTGTAATCTACTCGATTTCTAATTACAAAGACTATGCTACACTCACAAGTAATTCATAAAAAGTGGATACTTTAATATAACTTAAATCGGTTTTACAACATAGAAAAATGTTGTTATTTCAAATATTAAAAAGCGCTCTTGACTCGTGTGCGTACTTCTGAAAATCAGATCGCCAAAAAATCTCAAACAGAAACTACAACTGCCAGACAACCAGCCACATAAACACACAAACTACAATACCCAGAAGACCAGGCAAATCCCAAAGATACGTACCCACGACTTCCGATTACGTCATTTGTAAGGTCAAAACAAAAGTGGCGATACGGTTTCGTGGTATATATTTTGTTGAAGAACAGAATGACCCCTTTTCTCTTTTAAAACTGTTGTTGTTGGGCGTTGCTGTCCAAGGAAAACAAACTCTGTCGCCAGTAACTAGACTGTCGGGTTAATCAGTTAAGACACAGGGTGAAAGCTAAAATCAGAACACGGACGGGCCTGGGTGTTTGTAGGAGCACCGCGCTCGAGTGATGGCAGCTCTCCACGAGAAAGGCCTGGTCGCCGGGCCGCTTGTCCCTGTGAGTTCCGAGACTACCCTCGCTATCAGTGGACAACCCACAGAAGAGAATAAGTTGAAAAGGAACGTTCTCGATGAAGAAAATTACATTGAGGTATGTACTGGGAGCTATGTCTAGTGTCTTAGGTTTTAAACTTATTTAATGAGGTTATTTTTTCATCGATCTATTGAGAAAGATCAGTGAGACGCTAAAGGTTTTCATTTTGTCAGTGATTGACAACGAGGATGCGGGTTTGTTTTAGGAACGACTGTAGCTTGACATTTCAGCACGCGTCTTCTTATTGTTCGAAACAGAGCTTGGAGAAGATCATTCAGAGGGACTTCTTCCCAGATGTGGAGAAACTGCGGGCTCAGAAGGAGTATTTAGAGGCAGAAGAGAGCGGGGATCTCGAAAAGATGAGAGAAATCGCGATAAAATTCGGATCGTCTTTGACCAAATCAACCCCACGACATTCCGTGCCTTGTAAGTTGTTAATCGGTGTCAGACTGCAGTCTCGGAATGCCGAGAAGGTGTAGAAAACTCTTCCCAACCTTTTAGTTTAGTTTAGTTCTTTTTATGAGAGCCACTGTCACGTCTTGATTTTATGTCACGTTCAATTTGTCCTAATCTGTGTGGACATATTGTTGTTTTCAATAATGATAAAAAAGACCATATTATCATTTACATCTTTGTTTCAGAATAACCTCACAAAACCGCAAAGTGGTGTTGTCAATGTCAGAAGTCATACTGCAGCAAATACCTAAAAAAGCAATTGCCTGTCAGTAAACTTATTATACATGTAATCCTTGCTATACTTTCTTTCTCTCTTCAACGCTTATTCTTAGATCCAAGAGCCATAAATGACTTTCTTGTGTGATACATGTTGGAACAAGCTTTGTTTTTACAGCATTTTTTGAAAGTATACAAGCATGACATTTCCTAGCTTGGTTTAACGAAAGAGTTGTATCTGATGGTATTGAAAGCAGACGCCTAATGACAATGCAGAACCTTGTCTATGATACAAAGAAAATAAAAGTTATTTTTAGGCCACGCAGAAGCTTGTGCGTATGTTTCGTTTTGAAGTGTAACGTGCATAATGTACCATCTGAATTCAACCAGCAAAATCAGTGTGTAAACCTTTAAGAACAATTGCATGACCTAATTTACAGTGGATAACAGCTAATACTTTTGTACATAAAGAACCCACATGGCTGAGGCCTAAAACTGGGACAAAATTTCAGTTTCGGATAGAAACTAAACTGCCAGATGAGTAAAATGGATTGAATGTGCAGCTTTTCTTGGGCTGTAACAGATTATGTAGTTCAATTAACTTTTGATGCCTTCTCTGCATTAGACATCACCCCAGCAACGTTTGAGACACCAGATGGCCGGCTGGGATCCCCCTCGTCTTTACAGAACAAATCCAGGTTTGGGACAAGAGCTACAGAAGAAGGTAAATACTACGCAATCCCAGATTTTCTTCTTTAAAGAAGCAAAGGCTAAACAACAGTTTTCAGACTGAGCAGAACAAGAGTCGAAAGACTGATATGTTTCAGTCTGAGGTCTGAGCATTTGTCGATATAAGTGCATGGCAGATTGAAAATGGGAGCAAGGTCATTTGTGAATTGTGTTCAGCCACGGACTTATTCATTTGTACCATCGAAAATGGAAAATTCCCTGGAACATAGGTGACACAATGAATTGTTTTCTGTAAACAAGTAGGCATGTTGCGCAACAATTTTAAATCCAGACATTTTTCACTTTACAATTCTTTTCAGGTGAAAAAGAAACAGACAAGCAAGAAGATAAAGAGCTGCCCACTTTAGATTCTTTTCTTGCGAAAAACACGAGTGAGGATAATGCCTCTTTTGAACAGATCATGGAGCTTGCAGAGGATAAGGAGAAACTCAGGCATGCATGGCTTTATGAAGCAGAGGTGGAATATAAACAGGTAAACTAATGCATGTACATAGTACTGTTTTATTCATAACACCTAGATTTTGTCAAATAAATTATATTTTACTGCAATATGTTGTCTTACTCACTACATGCATCGGTTTGTTTTTTTGTCCATTTTACAGATTTCCAAATTGTATGACAAAGTACATAGTGACTTATTACATATGTATTTGCAGATAACACTCTTTAAATATCTTTGTTCATATCATCTTATTTTTACAGATGTAGCACGCACTGTAATGCATCTTTGACATTCTGATTTTTTTAAAATTATGTGTTTAAAAATGAAGATGACTCAGAGCATAATGTACTGTTTTGTTATGCAGCGACTGCAGGAGAATCTGGCGTTACCGTCATCTGAAAAACAAGCTATCGAAGCTGGAAAAGCGGGAGTTGAAACGTGGGAATATAAAGCAAAGAATGCTTTAATGTATTATCCTGAAGGTGAGTTGAATGGGTTGAGTTAAAGTAATACTTGGACTGCAGAATTTAATACTTCTTTGTAACGTTGGAGTATAAGTAGTTGCAAAATGTGGTGCGGCACCCTACTTCACAGTACTGCAGTAAGCTATTGCCTAGACAGCCCTACACAGGAGTTTCCCCACATCTTGCTGGGTTTGGAGGTATTAGTATTTGTGATACATGAAACCCTGTTTCTTTTACATAGGTGTTAAAGATGAAGAGGGTCTCTTCAAGAAGCCAAGGGAAGTGGTTCATAAAAACACACGTTTCCTTGGAGACCCCTTTAGCAAAGCCCTGAACAAATCGCAGCTACAGCAAGCAGCAGCTCTCAATGCGCAGGTAGGTAGACTGACTGTAAAGGTCCTGTATTAAGTACTTGTGAGTTGTGGTAAGGCACCCTACTAAACAGTACTGTGGTGAACTAAGGCCTAGGCAGCCCTGAGTATCAATATTGTATTATAAGAAGTATTGTTTTGTGCTTGTATATATTTCTATATTATGCATTTGAATGAATAAATACATATATAGAAAACTTTTGAGTTATCTACAAAAAACGTGCATTACCAAAGCCTTTTTAACAGTAGTTTTTAACTTCTTCGGCTGTGTTCTTTGTTTGCAGTTACAGAGGCAGATTTATATACGAAATTAAATGAAATGATTACATGACATTAAGCAAATCTTATTTCACACGTACCTAAAATCTTTCACAGATGTTATTGCATTACTGATTTTTTTTTTCTGTGTCTTAGTTTAAGCAGGGAAAAGTTGGTCCAGATGGAAAAGAATTAATCCCACAGGAATCCCCTAAAGTGAATGGCTATGGATTTGAGCCAACTCCATCTCCAGCACCTGGTAAGACATTGTGGAACACTGTTTGATGTTTTCTTTTTCCAATTGTACAATTGTTAAGAAATGTAATTTGTTTCAAAGATGAGATTGTCAGCATCTGAAGCAAGGATTATAATGGAAAGAAAAAAACAGAGAAGTGTATCTAAATATAGGCAGTATATAAATAAACCCTCCTTTGAAGACGCAGCGTGAACATTTACTGCTGTTTCCTGTTAGTACGTCTTTTGCAAAGCTTGTCTAAAAATGTAAGCCTTCAACGTACTATGTTGTTTCTCTTGCAGGGGTGACCGATTCTCCTTTCATGACCTGGGGTGAAATAGAAAGCACTCCATTCCGACTGGATGGCTCAGACACTCCATATGTGGAGAGAAACCATGGTCCATCTTTTAAGGTCAAGTATTTTAGCTTTGGGACTCAAGCTGCTTAGTGAAAAAATTATTTTATTAATCTTTTTTGGGGGTAAAATGTGTTGTGTGTGTGAGTATAAATACATATAATCTCAAAGTATAAATACTGCTTGTATTGTACCCATGCAGGAAAAAAAGGTGTTCCTGACTTTAATGTGTGTTTAATTGTGTCTGTTGTGCACAAGTCTCTGTCATTACATGTGTCATCCTAGTAGCATGCAACTGTGATGGTATTTTCAGCTGCATGGAAAATTAGTAGATCTCTCTGACTGAAGCTTGTGTGCCTTGTAGATTCCTGAACCAGGACGACGAGAGAGGCTGGGTTTGAAAATGGCAAACGAAGCTGCAGCTAAGAACAGAGCAAAGAAACAAGAAGCATTACGGAAGGTCACAGAAAACCTGGCGAGGTGAGGCACTCAAATGAGATGTACGATAAGAAAAGAAAACCAATAGGTTTCATGGTTGGTTTCTGAAAATCTTTTCTGTTCTCTGTCAGTTGCTATAATAGGAATACTTACATTAGATATCCCCAGCTCTGATCCTGGAGTGTTACAGCTAACTGACTCAGAGATACTCTGTAGCCACCGATGAAAGATCGTGTTAATCTAGACAAGCCACTAATTTGTTTATGTAATTTAGATCTTAATTGGAATGTGAGCAGTCTCTAGAATCTGGGGTTAGAGTCTGCTGCTGTAATATTCAACAGGTGAAAGGTTGGAAGGATGAAGAAAGGGTGTGATTAAAATCATACATAAATAGGACATATGATTCTCTCTGATTATAATAATTTCTATTGTTTTTTGCAGCCTTACACCGAAAGGCTTAAGTCCAGCCTTGTCACCAGCTTTGCAGAGACTTGTGAACAGGACAGCCAGCAAGTACACCGATAAAGCCCTGAGGGCCAGCTACACCCCTTCACCTGCACACACTGGGACCACAGGCTGCAAAACGCCAGTGGGAGGCCTGCCAACACCAAAGGGCACCCCCACACCAAGTAATGCACGGACCCCCGCATCTCAGGACCCTGCCTCCATTACCGACGACCTCCTGCAGCTCCCGAAAAGAAGAAAGGCGTCCGATTTCTTTTGACTTATTAAAAGCACGCTAAATGGAACTATAGGAAGTAACACGCTGCCCGTCAATGAAAAGGCAGGGCTTAAATAATGGATTTCAAGAGAGGATGACTGGAATTACTGGACAGTTTTTTTTTCCCCTCAAACACAGAATCCTGTTACAGGTTGGAGTTCGGGCGGTTTTAGAATTCTAAGTGCACTGTGGACATGGTGCAATTAAAAATTCGGAACTGCAATCGGAAGAGACTGTAAACTAATGGTGGGTTGTTTGTCATTCTCCTTTATGTTCTACAAAAGTAGAAAATTGTTTTAATCAGGCATTAAAACATTTGTACAGTGAAAAAGAAATATTTTTATATTCACTCATTCTTTTTTCTGAATGTTTAAGAATTTAGTATTGTATTTTAGAATTGTCTTGTAATATATCAGAAGTAGTAGTGTTCAAAGATTCTCAGACTGTTGTGTTTGATGTATTGTGTCTCAGCTTTCACATCTCTCATTCAGATGGCCGGGCTGAAATAAAATCTTGGCTTTAAAGGTCTTAAAACATCCATGGTGAATAAAAAATTTTCTGCAGATGGTCAAAAAGACTTTAGTGCCCAATCTAAATGTCAGTTTTCCCAGTTGAAGTCGGTACGCTAACCTGCACTTGGAAAAAGAACTGTCATGCTAAGACTATATGTCATATAGTTATCTTGAAGAGCTTCTTGTTAAACACTTCACGCGTGTGTGTTTTCCGAGAGGTTTTTTTTTTTGGTGATATGGTTTACTACCTTCCTTCCCCTTTCCCAATAAATATTAAAATCACTGGCGGACAGACAAGGATAACACTCCAGGAGACCCAATTCACCGGACAGTAGTGTGGAGCTTGTCTGACTCCCAGATGTGAGGTAGACAGAAGATTCAGGATAAAATGACAATTGAGTACTCTCAAATAAAATACTTGAGACCCAAGCGTGAGATAGTACCAGTAAACGATTCTTTTTCCCTAAAATCATGTTTGATCCTTCCAGGGAAGAAAAACTTCCTGAATTTCTTCAAGCATTCGTACAAAGTACAGTATAATGAGGGAAAAGCTTGTCTCAGAATAATGTGATGGGAACTCATTTTAAACTACTTAGTAAAGGCTTCTGTTGTGCAGGAGAAGCAATGATCTGTACATATTCAACGTACTTGAGAACATAATCATCTGCTTTGTTTTAATCGCTTTATCGATGGTGCTCCTCGTTGTGCATGTGGGCAGTTTGCTTGGCGTGGGCGGAGGACTTCCTCCGGTGGCATGGCGGTGGCTCGGGGTCAGTCGCGTCTCTCGGGGCTTTGCAAGCCCTCTTCCCTGGCGCGTCTGCCTCGCACTCCGCGCCCGCGTCCTCCGGCGCGTCGGGCTCCGCTTCCTTTTTGCCGAGGCTCGGGTTTTCCGCCCTGCTTTCGCCCCTGGCTCCGTTTCTCGAGTAGCCCCTCGAAGTGGAAGGGCCGTCGGCTTGTTTCCGAGCCGCCTCCTGCGTTTTAGGCCTCGGCCCCCTCAGCCAAGCGTGGTCCAGGATCTCGTCTATTTCGATGCGCCTGGAGACCTCGGGGTTCAGCATGCGATAGATGAGGTCTTTGCACTCCGGCGCCAGGTTTTTAGTCCTGGGGAAGTCCACTCGGTGCTCCTTCTGAATTTTAAGCATCTTCTTAATGTTTGAATCATCGTACGGCATGGACCCGCAGAGCATGATGTACAGCACTACCCCCATGCTCCAGATGTCATACACTTTGGGGTTGTACGGAATGCCTTGCAACACCTCCGGAGCCGCGTAAGCAGCCGACCCGCAGAAGGTTTTACTGAGAACAATGTTGGCATCCTCGAGGTGACACCTCCGGCAGAAGCCGAAATCCGACACCTTGATGTTAAAGTCTTTGTCCAGGAGCAGATTCTCGCATTTCAGGTCCCTGTGCACTATGTCCAGGTCGTGGATGTATTTGATCGCCAGCGCTAACTGGCGGAAGAGTTTTCGGCAGAAGTCCTCCGGCAGGGCACCTCTGAACTTGATGAACTCCAGGAGGTCCCCCTGAACGCCAAGCTCCATGATCATGTAGACCTTCCCATCGGAGGTCTCGAATATCTCGAAGGTCTTCACGACGTTTCGGTGGTTGAGCACGGCCAGGATCTCCATTTCCCGGGGCAGGAACTTTTCCAAGAAGTCTGCGGGCGCTTTCCTCCTGTTGATGATCTTGACCGCGACGTTGGTCTTGAGGCGGTCGGAGTAGGCGGATTTGACCTTGGCATAGGACCCTTCTCCTAAACTGATGCCCAGCGTGTAGCCTCGTTTCTTCAGCACCAGCGCGTCGTCCATAGCAAAGAATTTCCTCAAACGCCCGTCTGTGTTTTCTTGCACATTCTCATCATTCCCAGTTTTGAATCGTGAGTGCACATTGCAGCGCCGTGTGTAACTTTAACTTCAACGTTTTTATACATCGTACTGATTTCTTAGGGCATTAAGGTGACGTGACACGGCAATTATTTCGTTTTGATGACAGGAGCGACAATGTCATTGTTTCTTCACTTCGGCATTATCAACCCCCAAACCATCCCGTTGCTTTTTTTTGTGTTTTAAAAAGGAGTGTAAGTACCTATCAATCGCACGTTTAGAGTTGTCTTCATCGATTTTCAATCTTTTCGTTCAGCAGTGCAGAGATTAACTTAATGGGAAAGGAGAAAAACGGAAATTGGCCGTCGATCAGGCCCTGGGATACAACGGGTGTTTTTTCTTTTCAAATGTGATGGACAAAGGTGTCCAGCTTTCATCAGGGTTAACATAACTAAACAAGTCGTTTTTATATCGGACTCGCCGTGACTAAAAAGAAAAGTACGACATCAATTCTTAGAATGGAATAGCACCCTGTTAAGAGACTGTAAAGCAAAGCTTTAATTCTGTTCAAATGAATTCTGTCAGGGGAAAATAAAGTAGCGATACGTTTGCACTGACGCAAATGTCTGTAGGCCAAGGTGAATCTCATTACTCAATTGGATGAGTGCTTCAGGCAATGAATTATTTAGCTATCTGGAGTATTGCTTTCACTAAGCGATTATAATTCTTTGGAATAAGCCTTGGTTTTAACAATATAAACTATGATTTCAAGGAGGTTTGAATTTCACTAATTCTAAATACTTCACTGTGCGCTGTTACACTCCCGTAAGATTAATCACCACTTTTTTTTTAATTTATTGGTTTGTTTATTCACTACCCGAAATAACCTACATGAAGGTCGCGTCATATCTGGCTGTATTGTTGAAATCAAGTCCAAGAACTTCTTTATAATCACACAAATCTTGCACAAATAGCAAGCTATCGAGTAATCAAGCCCAGACATCGTGTTTCTCTTTCTGAGTCTCTTGTTCGGTCGAATCTCTCTTTATTGTTTATTTTCGTTATTTCGCTATCATATTGTAAATGATGGCTGAATTGTATTCACGGTGACCACACACACACGCAGTTATTCAACCTCTCCTGTCAGACAGAGGAAGCACTTTCAATAATAATAATAATAATAATAATAATAATAATAATAATAATAATAAATACACAATAATAATAAATACTACTACTAACAACAACAACAACAACAACAACAACAACATTCAAGAATCAAATCAACTGGTGATTTGTTGTTATGAATGACGCCACCCGTAATGATTATGAACCCTATTTAAAGAAACCGAACTGCTGGCCAACAAGTGCTGATGTTACACACGGTTCTCCCGTCCTTCTCACCCTGAATTTAGACCCCCTGGACTGCATTATCAGTACCGAGGGGATCAGAAAGAATAGCCCTCGCTAATACCCCCCTACAAATGCCCCTCCCCTCGACTCGGAGCTGATAGGCTGAGTGGCGTGTTAGGAATTGTTGTGAAGGGACGAGGAAGCCATCTTGTAATTTTTTTCCGAATCGGGAACACGGATTGGAGTGCGTGAGGAGTGTGGGGGGAATAAGGGACCCAGGATTGCCGTTTTGTGTTAAAAAGATATCGCTGCAAAACGCGAGTTTTTGTGCGTGTGCGAGCCTTCAAGCCCCTTGACGTCTTCTTTGAAAGCGATTCGAAACCTTCACGGGGGGGGGCGGTGATGTGTGTGTGTGGTGGCGGTGGTGGTGGTGGGGGGAGTTAGGAGGGGAAAAAAAAGTAAAAAAAAAAAAGCTCGGGGTTCAGAAATTCACGTCGGCGCGTGTTTCATTTCTGCGTGTGGGTCTATGATGAATGGAGGATAAATGTTGTTCAAGGCTGACAACAGCAGTTGCGCCCTCCTCCTCCTCTCTCTCCTCTTCGCCCTCACTCTGACAGACCCACCGCGAACAGGTAAGATGGGGGGTGCTGGCTGACCGGCTTGGTGGTGGTGGTGGTGGAGGGTGGAGGACTGAAAGCAATCCCGTCTCCGTCGAGCCGGAGAGGGCGGCTGGTGCCTGCTCGGGTCAGCACAGTGCAAGGCTGTGGAGAGGGAAGCGGGAAGCGGGGTTGGTGTCTGCGGGGACTGACGGGAGCTGAAGACGGGGAAGCAGCGGGCCTTTTCCGGGCCTCGTCTGTCTGCGGATGAGATTATGTATCGCTATTATGTCTGTGCCCCTCCTTGGGGAGCGGGGGTTTGCGATAACCGTGTCCGGGGGGTGGTGTTGGAAGCAGTAGGGGGGTACTTTCCCTTTAACGCGAATGCGAAACGAATCCATTTTTATGACTGCGTTGGTGCCTAATGATGCAACTGGACTTGTACTCCAAAGTGTGTGGTGGTGGGGGGAGAGTTTTTTTTTTGTGTGTGTGTATCTGCGTCTGCAAGGATAGATGAGTTAGTGCACAGATCCCTTGGACGAGATGTGTAGGCATTTTCATTGCACAAACGCGTCTACTTAAAAAAAAAAAAATCCCATTGCATTTTACAGTTCAGGTTTACGCGCGGACTGGACATCATTTCGGCGTCGGTGCCTCCGAGTCCAGCCGTTCATACGAACGATAGGAGGAGGATGAACATGCAAGCCGAGCCATGCCGAAAACTAATAGCCCTCATCGACATTTTGAACGCACACATCTGTGGGAAAAAAATGACTGTTGATCACCTTTACAGAATTCACGTAGAAACTAAACTCACACATGTTTAATTCTGGATATGTGGTGTACTGCGGTCTCTTCAGTCTCCTGCAACTGCTGTAGTTGTGATTTTCACATGTAAATTCGCTGATTTTATACTTAGACGGAGCCTGTAAGCCTTTTTAAAGCACGTCAGTTTAGCCTTGTCTGAAGATCTCTGGACAGACTTAAGCCAGCAGTGTCAGGGGGCAGGAGAATGTGCTTCATCATAATTAACGCCCCATGACTTGATGCAAACTCAGTCTAGTGCGTCTTGCGTGTCTGGATTGCGAAGGGTTTTATTTAAATGAGCTGTTGCGTGTGACAGAGGCAAATATTTATCCGAAACCAGCAATCCAGGGATTTATCCGTTTCTCTTAAGTGGCTTTGCGGGCGAGGGGATTTCTTCCTGCGTGGAGGAGGGGACCGCCGGCCAGCGGATTTCGGACACGCGTCAGGAACCAAGGCAGGCCGGTGGTCCCACCTGCTGTTTTCATTCTTACACTTAAACACACGCTCGGAGAAATACACGCCTCTCCTGGTATTTTTTTTTTTTGAACGTCGAAAAGCAATGCATGCAGAAAGAGTCAAGTTGAAGGAGCTGCACTTTAAATGCACAGAAAGAATCGGAATGTGTTTCTTGATGTTTAAAAGCTTGGAGGCGTGCGTTTTGCCCCCAGCGCTGCCCTGTGCGTGTAGGAAGCTGCTTCTCTTGCAGTGCCGGAATTAAAAATGTCTGGCGAGGTGACAGGTGTTCCACTGTGGACAGGCTCCGGGCTCTAGCAGGTCTTGGTGATTACTGTCAATAGTTGTTTGGAGAAAATTAATCTCCACCATTGCCAGGGTCTGGGGTGGCGGGGGTTGTTAGAAGAAGGAGTGGTAGCTGTCAGGATTCTTCCCCCACTTCATGTGCAATGCAAGGGACCAGCTCATGAGTGGTCACTCCCATGCTTATTACTGGTGTACAGTGCCAGAGACATGTTTGCCTGAATCAAAGGTATGTTTGAAGCATGTATCCCGAACCTTCTGCTCTCACCCTTCCTTTTCCTTATGAAGCAGATGGCCCTGTGGATGTGAGGAGTTTGTAAGGCCACCAACAAGGGAAAGTGGCCGAGGTGTCTTGGTGGATTGACATGATTTGCATCGGAAATATTTATCTTTAGGCTCGCCATTTCATTTTGCTGTTAAGTATCTAAAGCTGTTTCAAAGACTTGCAGTGCAGTGCTGCTCTGTAAATGTTGACATTGATTATGTCACTTGTTGCTTATGTAATTGAGCTGATTCCCCTGTCCTGAGCTGGCTCTGGCAGTAAGTGGTTGAGTTAATTCTGTGACGTGTCGTTCAAGAGCAGTTGGCACTTACAGTACATTTTGTAGGTCTCGGGTATACGAAGTCAAGTTTGCAGTAACGCTGCTGGGCTTGTTTCCTAGATAAACATTCAGGCCTCAGGCATCATGCCTCTGCCTCAGACACTTGACCTTTCCGCCACTTAGCTGCACAGCAGAACAGACCTTCATCAGTTGCCCAGCAGGTCTTCCCTGCAGTGTGTGAGACCCCTAGTGTAGTTCTTTACCTTGGCTCGTATTCAGTGCTACAGGAGAGATGTCTTTTCCACCACATTTGTAGCATAATAGTCAGGCCCACTGTCCGTGTGTTTATTAAAATGTTTGAGTGCTGGAAGAAAACCTTATGGGGAAAAAAAAAAGCTGTCATATCTGTAGGATAAAGAGGAATAAGGAGCATCATTCTTCAGTTATGACACTAAAAAGCAGTGTAATGCTTACTTTTCACTGTTGCTTGGTTATCTCTGGTTTCTCCGCGTAACCAGCAGAAACTGTTAAGATTTATGTTGTAGTTATGTGCATTCATGTGCAGGCTATCCATCATTATTAAAAGTGTTCAATAGGCAGCATTGCAGTGGGCTTGAGAGGATCAAGTCATTCAGATACTGCTCTGCCATTTCCTAGTGCTGTCAGTGCAGAGGGTTATGTAATGTTAAAGCTGTTTTATGCATTCTCTGTGCCAATACACACGTTAGACAATGGAAAACTGTTTCCACGAGTGCTGTTTTAACAGTGATTTATATATTCATTCATCATGTATACGTGCAGCGTTTTTCTGCTGACGTTGGCCGCTTGTACCTCATGGCGGGCTCTCCCAGCTCCCGGATTGAGCTCTTCGGGGGGCAGATGCTCCGCGCCCAGCCAGTGCTGTAGGTCCCTTGCTTGTGTTCCTCTTGCCAGAGGGAATTGTTAATGTGGTCGATGGGTGGCCACTGTCAGCTGAATCAGGAGGGTCGTTCTGTACAACTTTATATGGTGCGCATAGTGGATGTGTATAGTGCTGGCATTTGGTGTTCCGGTCTGTCCATAACAAAGCTAATGAGGTGTGTGTGATGGGAGTGACTAGTCTGAGTACAGTCTTCGCTGTCTGCAGGTTTCAGTCTCCTTTCTTATTTCCTTTAAGACGGGGTTGTTTTGTGCCACACCACTTATTCTGTTTGCATTGCATTTTGAGCCAGCTTAGCACCTGAGCCAAGCGATTGCTCCAGAATTGCACAAGAAGATGTGACGGGGACACGTGGAATTAAATTAATATTGGGTGCTCAGTACTTCAGCAGTAGCAATGGTCTTATGCCCTGTTGACCTGAAATCACGCCTCTCTGCACTTCACTCTGAGAATATGGCGATGCCTGCTTCTTAAACCTCAGAGCCATGGTGAAAGTTGAGATCCACGTCAACAGTTCAAAGTATACATCGAATCCAGCATATTTAGCAGATACCAAATGCCTTTTGATGATCTTTGCAGTTTGCCACACCATTTGTGTGCGCACGTGAACAGCTGGGTTTTATGTGGTGAACCCCGATGTTAAAAAGGTGATTTTAGTGGATTTAGCAGGGCATTTGGGTAAATAAATCCTTTGACATTTAAAATGTGATCACTTCAGTTGACAACCTTTGTATGTAGAAATATGTAACTATTTCTTTCCCTGAATAATAAGCCTAATTTTCTTCTTTTGCTAAAAAGCTCTTAACAGTAGTCATCCAGTTTTTGCATTTTATAATGGTCATTAAATACCTTAATAGTTTCATTACATTTTTGGTTAATCTTTTTATGCTTCGTATTGGTTTCAGATGCTTTTTGTAGTGTTTAGACTGTTTTATTTTGGTAATCCAAATGTCATTAACCGAGCTGAATACATAATCTGTCATTTTAGGCTTGAAATATAATGGCATAAGGGAAGGGTTTCTTTAAAATGAATGCATTTTTTATAGGGTAAGGACAAGCATTTCTCCTGTATACATTTCGGTATTATAGTTTCCATACTGTTAGTCATAATTGGTAGTATTTAATGTTCTGTGCTTTTTGTTTTGTAGTGGGTGTTTTGACATTTGTTGCATTTTGCATTTTTTCAGGTCCGCGCCTGGCTCTGGCACGATTACTGTCAGGTAAGCAAAATTTTCCTGGCTGCATCTTGTGCAGAATTGCCTTTATAGGTATTCATAAACGCATCTTGAATATTTTCATATACATTTGGTTGTAGAATTCCTTTTCCTTATTCATCTGTCCATCCTTTAAAGAAATATGAACAAAAACAGCAAAACAAGTTGAATGTATAAATGCCTGATTCTAGCACAGCAAGTTTAAGGACACAGAGAAATAATAACTTAATAGGAAATAATAAATCAATCAATCTTATAAAATTAGCATAGTTACCACTGCTGATTTTGTTTAAACGTATCTCAGTGGAAAGTGTTACATGTTGAATTTCTCTGTGGTCAGAGGAAACGTTTCAGGAATACGTTTGTTTTGGTTATTTCGAAAATGATAGAAAGTTACCCCTGTAATAGAAGTGAATCTTTGCTGATCTCCACATGACACAATGCGTACTAGCCTTCTGCTGGAGAAATTGATCAGCTGAAAGAAGATCCTTTTGTTTGCCTGCATTGGCAAAAGAACATATTATTCACGGTCCTTTTCTATAGTGTTTTCTGTTCAAAGTGAAATAATGAAGTGTGTTTATTTGTTGTCTCTAATTTCTTGGACGTCTGTTTTAGAAATTGACTAACCAGATCTGTTTGGTTGTAAATTTGAATCATGCATAATTTATGAATCAGCTGCATTAGTAAGAAGCTTTTGCTTTTGGTGTATCAGCTGTTTATTTAATCATTTTCACATTCCTCATTACATACTTATTCATTTATTTCATCTTAATGAATTGTACTAAACAGCCATGAGCAGAGAGGTTTGGGAGTGCAGGCTGATAATCGGAACAGAGTCCCCATGTTGCTTCTCTCAAGGGTAATCAAGCTTGCAGCAAGTCCTATGAAAGGCTGTTACATGATCTATTACAGGTTGTTTTTCCTCAAGCATTGAAAGGTGCACACATCAATCAACTGTTTATGGTTGTACAGTTTCATAAGTGTTCATAAACTGTTTTGAATGAGAGTAGATTGATCTTGGAGCAACATTCCAGAACAACTGACATCGCCGGTGACATAAATTCAACATTTACTAGGAGTGTTTCTCATGGCTTTAAATGGGAAGCACGAAGTTGCCTCAGGCTGAGTGCTGTAGGAAACATGTTGACTGTATGTGAAAGGAGTTCTTCTGATCTGTGAAAAATATTTGTAACCTTGGGTTAATGCTCAATGTTATTATTCACTCTCAGATTGTATACCTCATTATAGGGCTTCCAGCAGTCTAGGTTTTGTTTTTTATGAGTGTTGACTTTTGGTATTAGAGCTTAAGTTGATAATACTTTTGGTATGCTCCCTAGAAATAATATTTAAAATCAATTTTTGTCACACCAGAAATGACATTTTTTTTTGTAAGGGCACCTGCACCTGTTCTAGAAACAAGCTGTGCTTCTCAAGTCAGTGTTCACTTGGATATCCTTCTAAATGTGCATGCATTAGCCTTGTAAAAAGCATTTGTGTTTTGCTCATTGGTAATGCATACCATGCCAGACCGATACTGATGGCTCCCTAATGGAACTGCTTATTTATGATGATAAAACGTTTTATGCATCAGTGTTTTATATTGGGGACTAAAGAGCTGCTGTTTATTTGCAACATTAGAAAAGACTTTTGATAGTATATTAATAGCCTGCTAGTCTATATTGTTGCACACTGTATGGCATGGATGCCAGCATAAAGCAGATTTTAAAGGATCCTCTTTGTATTTTTTGGGTTTTACCTTGGTCATTAAGTGCATTCAGGCAATGGCTGTTTCTATCAACTATTTTGGCGATTTGATAAAAGAATGGGTAAATTGTAAAGCATTATGCAAGTACTCGTCACTGACGACGGCACTTTTGCTCTGTGTCCCAGAGAGGCAGATTGTCTGTGGGCCTTGTAGAGCTGAGTGGGAGTATTGTCATGGGTCTGCAGTCTAGTGCATCACGGGAAGGTGGAACAAGCTCAACAAGCACCAAACGAAACGCTTGCACCTTCACAAAAAAAAATCCCCAGATCCATTTTCTTTTTGCGTTCCGCACGATCGCTCGTCGGCCTGCCGCGTTCGGCCCCCCGAGACGTGCTCGGTTTCTCCGCGCGGCGCGGGGCCGCGTTCAGGCTGGGGTGGCGGCGGCATGCTCGCGATGGTCACGCCGGTGTGTGTGTGTGTGTGTTTCAGAGCTGCGGTGCAGCCCTGGCCAGTTCGCCTGTCGCAGCGGGAAGATGCAGTGTATCCCCCTGGCCTGGCAGTGTGACGGATGGACAGCCTGCGAGGACAAGAGCGATGAGATGGACTGCCCCAGTAAGTCACCGTCGGGGGCCGCACCAGCCTTTCCAAACACTATTGCTAAAGCCCTGACTGCGTCCGAATTGTTATACCTCGAGAACTGAGTGAGTTAGCTGATGCGTTGTAGGGCACATTTACACATTACAGCAACAGTTGTCCATTATCTCAATAAAGCAGACTTGAAAAAAAATAATAATAATTTGACAGGTATGGTGATGTGAAAGTGATCGAGAAAGGGTAATAATCTGGGAACCAGATTTTGTAAACTTGGCACAATTTCCGTTCCAATATGTGGTTGATGGCAACATTTCTATGAAGTGTTTTCAGTGATAAAAAAGACCGATGTTTGAAGTTCAGAAATCTTTTTTTTATTTTTTATTTATTGCTGTTTTCGTTCTGTTGAACTTGGACGACTTGCGGAGATCAGGCTTACCATTTCTTGTCGCAATTGTAGATCTTGCAAGGAAAGCTTAACCAATCTTGCTTTTGGAAAATCCCATTGTTGCTGTTTCTTAAATCCTAAAAGAGATGGAATGATCCCCAGGTGCACAGCAGGAATTATTGAAAAGGTTTACAAAACATGTGCTTTCCACGTCTCAGTTTACCAGTTGAGCCAATGCTGTAAATCCATATTTTGTGTGATAATCTGAAGCCAAGGAATGGACTAGTATTATTTGATACTGTTTCCAGAGCGAAAAAATCCAGATTATAGATGCAAAAGTTAGGTTTTCGAAATAGAAATTCATATTTTAACTTTAACCTGTGGGCTGGGTTTATTGTGCTAGTGTACTGTTTGGTCTTTAATATGTAATCCTGTAAATTGTTTGTTTGTTCTCTTACAAAATGGTTATTGTGTAGCTTCTTCATGAACGTTGTGGTTCAACAAAAAAAAAAGCATGGTAATTTAAAGGCTTCTGTCACAACTTGCTGATTTCTGCAGTTTGTTCTTATAGATTTCTGCCATGTTTTTATAGATTATGGGATAGGCATGCTGGACAGGAGAGTTTCGTCTGAATACCATTTCCGCATATCTCTCGGAGACGCGTGAATGCTCGTTTTCCCAGCATGTCATGGTCGCATCTCCTGGCCCGTAATGTTCATTTCTGAGATTCAAGAGAAAAAAGTAATTTAAATCTGGTAGTTTTATCTAGAGGGAGGGTGGTCATATCAGAGCTCTGTAATGCAGAGCCGTGATCAACATGTGGCTTTCTGGACTATCGGTTATCTACACCAGTCTATGTCTAATGAATAATGTAGCCACGGTTTTACTCTTTATATTTGATTTAATAAAATGCAATATTTCCTTTATATTCAAAATACCTTAATATCAACTCCTGTTGTACCGACATGCTCTGAAAAGAACTGTTCTTAAAACTGTAAATTTAGTAAAAGAGAAGCTAGTTTTGCACAAAGGCAAAAAAGGCACAAAGGCAAAGAGATGTCTGGTACCTTGGCGTAACATTTTTAATCATAAAATCTGTTTTAATATTTCAAGGGTTATCAAACACAAGTTATAAATGGCAGGGTGTGAGCTCTTTTGGTTTTGTGAATATATCTATAGGGTTGTTCATTGTGCTGGTCTGTTTGCTTGTAAAAGCCAATAGCAATATTTTCAAAAAGCAGTTTTATTTTTTGTAACTAAAGTCTTGTATTTTTTTTTCTTGGTTGTAATAACTCTTCCTCTAGTGCCATTTCTCCTTGAAACCCGTCTGATCAGTTCTCTCTGTGCTTCGTTTGTGTATTTTTGGCAACAGCACTTGTGAGCCAGCCTTGAATTCCAGAAATGATGGATGAGGTTTTTAGATCTTGTCGTTGGGGCTTTGAATTTAAGTAGGCACAGCAACAGCACAACAGTTCTCTATTGGAGCAAATCAGATGTTTACTACAGCAACAATTTAGTAACCTGTCCTATGAAGCCCTTTGGGCAAACTCCTTTTCCGTTCTGTGTTATTTGTGGTAGCTGCACTTAAATCGGCCTAAACATGTAGTTAAAGAGAAAATCGTCTTCATAAAAAAAAAAACAAACGTTCATTTTAATCATCACGCTACTTTAAATAGTAAAAGATCTCTGGTTTTATTTTCACTTTTCAACATGTTCAATTTATTCTGCCTTGATTTATCCTGAAATTGATTCTGCTGTGTCGCAATAAGGCCAGGCTTGATGTAGACAGATTTCTAAGCACATCTGATTTGACGTGTACAGACGTGGTTTAGACACTTGACAGGGAATTGAGTCAGTCTGTGTAAACGCCCAACTGATGCACTAGGATTCAGCTGTGTTCCTATAAAAAGTGTAGGCTCGGAGGCAGACATGCACTATTTCATTCTTTTTCTCTGTTCGTCATTCGAATCCCCCCCTCATCTTGATGTAATCGTAAAAGTTCTTGTCTGTGCTTGTAATTGGTGCTCTGACCTCTCTGATTAAAACATACCACACTTAGGTGTGTTTTCCTGCACGGACTTTGTATAACCCTTTATGTGCTAGCAGTACGTAGAAATACCAGCCACGAGACAGCATATACAGTACCGCCTCTTACAGATTCCTGCCGCTTAGAAATGTAAATTTGGTGCAAAAAAGGGTTAAACAGCCACGGGAATTTTTTCACATGAAATACCCTAGCATCTGTCATAGCCAAGCAAGTCTGTAATTACAGCAAAAGGGTAAAGACAAGGTAGCTTGTCTGTTTTTAATAGATAACAAAAGCAAATTGAAATTCTGGTTGACTTGTGTAGGGTTTTGTAATACTGATCCTGCTACAAAAAAGAATATCTCTTGTTAAGGATTAATTTGAGTGACTTTTCTAGAACTTACCTGACAAATCTTTCTGCTTTCATACTAATGGCATTAATCAATACATAACCTTTGTTTTCCTAAGGTAGCCCTAGGACAACTACAGTGTTATAGCTGAGTACTAATGATATTCTGCCCGCTGATTTCTAGGAAGCAGGCTCTATGTAAAAAAAAAATCTGCACAGTACATGAAATTCAGCTCTCAGCTTTAATATCTAAACAGGTTGATCTGACAATTTTGATTTTTTCTGATATCTGCACAGCTGTGAAAAAGGATGAGAGGTTCTCCTACAGCAATGGGTACGACAACGAAGAAGGCATCATCAGTGTGGCTCAACCTGTGCGCTTCAACAGTAAGATGTGCTGATCTTTTTTTACCCTTTTTCAGCCTGTATTGTCTGGGAAACGGTCCTTTCTTTCGCCAAACAGACCACTAGAGGGAGCTCTGTGCAATGCAAATGCTCTGAAACACCCATGCCTGTTGGAACTGTTTCAGGGTTTTTGATCGCTGAATCAGAGATACGGTCTGTGTCTTTTGTCTGTCTCTTCAATTCAAATTCTCAAACACTGTAATAAATGAAGCATGCTGCTTCCAAGCCAGGGAATAATGTTAAAGATTTCTAGAGAAAGTGGAGAGAGGTGAATACACAGATGGTTTAATAGTGACATTGAGCAAAGCCAGTGTATAGATTCTAAAAAGATCCATCAAACCTGCTGTATTGATAAGCAGCAAGATAACAGTCTTAGAACTGCGGATTCAAACTTGTCAACACTCAGACTGCTTACATAGAGAAATCTGGTCAGTACTTTATGTGCCTGATCAGAATTTAAATATCATTTACTTCCTGTTTTCTCCAGAGAAGTGCCCCAACGGCTGGCATCACTATGAGAAAACGGCCAGCTGCTACAAGGTTTACCTGAACAGCGAGAACTACTGGCAGGCGGTGGAGACCTGCCAGAGGGTCAACGGGTCCTTGGCCACCTTCGGCACCAACGAGGAGCTGCAGTTCATTCTGAGGATAGAGGTGGATTTCGACGAGAAAGTGTGTGAGCACAAGGACCAGTGCAAGTAAGAGCACAGCAGGGGAGGGCTCTCGTGACGTGGCCTGTTTCTAGTTTGGGAGACGATTCCCGAACGTCTGAACTAGCAGACTGTCTGTCAGATACATTTTGCTGGATTGATGTAATGGGAGGAGAAATCCCTAGGTGTCTTCAAGAGAAAGCTCTTGTTCTAACAGAGTGATAATATTACCTTTTTTTTTAAGTCACCTAGAAATTCTAAACAAAACGAGGCCTTTTTTAATCCATAGTTTTTTTCCCGCAGGTTCTGGGTTGGTTACCAGTATGTTATCACTAATCGCAATCATTCTCTTGAAGGCCACTGGGAAGTGGCTTATAAAGGTCAGTAACACTTCACGGTAAGACTTATTAGTGCGATACCGTAAAAGACTAGAACGTAATGGTGAATCATTCATTTCTGAGATTTTTTTTTTTCCAGATTACTCCAAAAGGTACTATAGTATCTTTCCATTTCTGTTGTGTCACGCAGGCTCCATGCAGGTGTTTTTACCCCCTGAAGGACTGACTAACTCTGGGGAGGCGATGCCGAATCAGGAGAATGTGTTTTGCGCTCAGCTGCAGCGTTTCCAAATCAAGACGATGAATGAACGAGGCCTACACAGCTGGCGTGCCGAAAACTGCTACAAGAAATTTCCTTTTCTCTGTAAAAGAAGTAGGTTGAAAGGTATTAGTTTAATTCTTAGGATTGTTTTCAGATCTAGTCGCTGTTACTGCAGTGGCTTTTCTGAATTTGCATGCATGCATGTTGTTTTATCCAGTCATTTAGGTGTTTACCACCTTTACTGCTTCTGACCTTTTCTTTGCTCAGTTCCATGATCTAATTGTGTGTATATGAAATTCAGTTTTTTTTCTGATGGTGGTGTTACCGTCTCATAGCCTGTTCTCATCAGATCTCAGAAGCTAAGCAAGCTTAGCCTGGTACTGGGCTTGATCAGAACTTGGGTTGTAGATTTCCAATAAAAACCAGGTTGCTGCTGTAATTGTTGGTGGTGGATCTCTTCCTCTTAAGTTGGTGGCATTTTCTTTTTTATCTGGACCTCAGTTTCATACCCGATGACCCCATTGTGGTGACAAGGGACATTGAATTCCTGACCGCTTGGTCTAAACCTGGTCATTGAATATCCCCAACAAAATTTGTAAGACTAGGGGTGTTGACCTTGGCTAAATTACACTTGGAGCTTCCACGAACTGGCCTACCTGTATTTCCCTCTTAATTCAGTGGAAGTAGCTCCTGATTTCTTGACCGTATTCTGTTGTGGGGCTGCCCAGGTGGGCACTGCTCTTCAGTGGAGGATGACCCTCCTATATTTGACACACTTTGGGGTCTTTTAAAATGAAGAGTGCCGTACGACTGCCGACAATCCCGGTTTGTTTCCCGTCTTCCCGATGGATCGCCGAAGATCGTTGCTGCTGCCGCCGCCGCCGTGATACACACCCCTCTGCCCCGGTTTGTGTTCTAGGACAGACGTGTGTAGACATCAAGGACAACGTGGTAAATGAAGGCTACTACTTCACTCCCAAGGGCGATGACCCCTGCCTGAGCTGCACGTGTCACGACGGCGAGCCGGAGATGTGCGTGGCGGCGCTCTGTGAGAGGCCGCAGGGCTGCACTCACTTCAGGAAGGACCCCAAGGAGTGCTGCAAGTTCACCTGCCTTGACCCAGGTGAGCTTCGCATCCACGTCTGCAGGGGATGTTCACGGCTCCTACTGGAACCACAGAGGAGACTGCTGTAACTCGCTGGTTGTGTTCTCGCTGGTTCTCCCTCTCCTCGGTTTGCAGAAATTGATTCTTCACAGGGTTGGGAGCTATTTGCTCCAGTAGGTGGTGCTGTGCACCCAGTTCTGACATCTTAAATGGGAGCACCCGAATTAAATCATAACTTCAAAACATCCAACAGTTGCAAAATCGCACGTCCTGTGCTTGGTGAGACGGCAGTTTTCCATTGCATACCTACAGGGATTCTCAAGTCCAAAACTTGTTCATCAAGTCTCAAGAGTGATCTGGTTGTCCTCAGCTTGTGCATAGGGTTATCCAGACTGTAAAATTCACACAGTGGACAGCACGTGACACGATTTTTGGAACTGCAATCCTGTTTTTAACACTTCAGAGTAAAGGAAACTTGAGTTCTTAATGGCCTCTAACAGTGGCTTTCTCCTACATTTAATTTGAGTGTCTAAGGGAGCAACAGTCTTATTTGTTCATTGTAATGTGTTATTTTTAATTGGAAATCCATTTTGGTTAATAGAAAATGTTCAATCCTTTCTAGAAGGGAAAATGTTAGTGTAGAGGTGGCACGTTTGGCTCTAGCAGCGCAGCATGGTCACAGAGGGGAAGTGGGGCATCGACCCTTTCTGTTTACCTGCACCCTACAGATGGGAACAGCCTGTTCGACTCCATGGCCAGCGGGATGCGACTGATTGTGAGCTGCATCTCCTCCTTCCTCATCCTCTCTCTGCTGCTCTTCATGGTGCACCGGCTTCGGCAGAGGCGCAGGGAGCGCATCGAGACGCTCATCGGAGGAAACTGTAAGCACCCTCCCGCCGAGCCACGGCAGCGTGACGGGTTTCAGTGAATCCCACACGTCGTCTTTTTTACCCATTGTTTCGAGCACTGTACCACTTCCTGCTGCAGAGTGCAAACGAAAGAAACCCGTCTGTGAAACTGGTAACTGGTGAAGGTTAAGTCCACCCAGTGTAGAAAAAGGAAGCTGAAACTTTCCTCTTTACGGCATGGAGTTAACATTCACTCGGTCCTTTGCAGCTGACGTGGTTTCCCACTGTAATCTGAAAAAATCAGTGGCTTTCTGCTTGGATAGCATTTGTGATTAACATAATCACTTCTGAGTTTCACCTTGAAGGGGAACTGTTGTCCCAATTTTAAATCTCAGTCACAAATCAATTGACAGTATAGCAAAATTTCACGAAATTCAGGAATTAAGTCCAAAATCATCTTGTCGAGAGTTTGCACTAATTGTGATGTGAAGCGGCCCTTCCTGCTCTCTAGTCACTGTAACGAATAATGTTCTGTACCAGCAAACAAGTACAGGTGGTGCAGCAGACATTTCACTGCAGAAATCTTCCAGTGTGATCTGCATGCAGAGCTAACAGGTCAGTTGTATTTGTTGGCAAAACTGCCTCGAAGTCGAGAACACTATTTCTATTGGAATAAAAGAGATGTGTTCACTTGCCTGCTTGTTCACAAGGTAAAAGAGCAGCTTCACGTCACTGGGAGATTTGTTGCCTTGTTCTGAACTGCAGCCAATGATGGCACTAAGGCGCGGCGCATAACTGGAAATATGGTCTATTTTGTGATGTAAATTGGAAGTTTTACCTTTTTTCCCCCACAGTCTTGCGGTGTCCATTTGACTTTCATTGTGTAATATGCACCCACTAACGCCAATTTTAATTGCCATTATTTTGATTGTTTAACCTTCAAGAAAGACCTTTCCCTGGTATCCGCAGTGCACCACTTCAACCTGGGCCGCAGGGTTCCTGGCTTCGACTACGGCCCCGATGCCTTCGGGACAGGCCTGACTCCGCTGCACCTGTCAGACGATGGCGAGGGAGGGGCCTTTCATTTCCATGAGCCCCCACCCCCGTACGCCGCCTTCAAATACCCCGACATACAGCACCCCGATGACCCCCCGCCCCCCTACGAAGCATCCATCAATCCAGACACTATCCTCTACGTTGATCTGGGTACGCTTCGAACCGCAGACTTAACAGTCAGGCATTTAATAAAACGTCACACAGTTTCGAATAAGATTCCGTCTAGGGCTTGTTGCGATGCCTCCCGGCCAGAGTGCTGTTTCCTTTTTCCTGATTGGCCGTGATTCTTAAAAAAGGGATAACCGTTAAGATGGCTTCATTAAGGTGCAGGTGCTTATTTTTGCAAATATCAGAGGTGTCTTGTTTAAATGAAAGGCCTCTTGCTATGGAAAGGATTAAATAATTTTGAAAATGTAGCTAAAAAAGGTTTTGTTTTTTTCCCCCCTCCCCCCTTTTGAAGGACAAAATAATTCCCCAGCCAATGAAACCAGCCACCCGCCTTTAGAAGCCGGCAGTCTCCAGCAGGAAGTGACAGAGGAGGTCTCTGCGTTAGAGCAGTCTTCAGAAGAACATGACGATTCCATTGACAGCAGCACACTGCTGGTACCCCCAGACTCGCCTAATGATGAAACCATCACAACAGAAACTGCAGTTGCGTACTGCACCAGCAACTCTTCACTAAGCACTGTTGTCTAAGACGGGGAGCAAGGTCATTCTTTTACCGTCAAACAAAATGTTTAGGGGAGCTGTTTGCACACTGCTGTACGGATACGAGTTGTTACTCTAGGCAGTTGTCTACAGAGGCTTCTAGTTTCATTTCCATGCTCTTGCTATTATGCCACAGGTTAGTATCACTTTTATGTTATCTTTTAAATTCAGATTGCGCTATCCTGCCGTTTCCATGGAGGATGCTACGAAAGGGGTTCGTGATCAAATTGGGGAAAAAAGTCAGGCAGCTTTTTTTTTTAAATAAAGATTCTTTGGATCAATGGAAATTGGAACTGAAGGACTGCACAGCGGAGCACGGGTGATTTTGCATACGTGATGTGTACCGTCTGCTACGTTAGAATGGAGGTTCTAGAAAGTTAAAACTCTTCTTTCGAAATGTCTGAAAGGTGTAAAGTTTGTTACAAAATGAGAATATAGTTTTCTCATTGTAAATATGGGTCTCCGGACTCCACTCCTTGCAAACAGGAGGGGTAAATGACACTGATGTGCAAATTTTTAGAATTTCTGTCTTCCAAATATACTGTATCAAACGGGAAGAATACATGAAAATTGTGACATCTATTCATGAAAATCCTGCATAGCCCTTTGCAGTCATTTGGCATCGTGCAGGCAGTCGTGCGACTGTTTGATGGGCAAGAGACGTGTCCTGCAAAAAAGAGGAATGGTTAAATGAAATATTCTCTGTATTTTTGATTAAATGTTTTTAATAAATTAAAACACTAGCAAAACTCTAAATGAGTCGCATAAGAAAATGCAATGTCCAGATGTCTTATTTTGAGAATTGAGCACTATTGGCAATTTTTAGGTTATTTTATAGTGAGATAGACTATAAATTCATGTTTGTAAGTCTTGAGAACCTATGCATTGAGATGTCAGAAGTACTGTACATTGTAATACAGTTCCAGATTTACTTATACATTATACCCCAAATAAAATTTTCAACTTTTTCAATTAGAAATGTACAGTACTCACTTTTTCTAAATTAATTTTGAAAGTCCATTATTAGTTTTGTACAATCCTTTTTAATGCACAGTATGTTTTGGGAAATATAGTTCCTATGGGTCTTTTCAATAGGAGATGTGGTTCGTAGGTTTCGGGTGTTTTTGTCAAGAAGGTGGCTTTGTGAAAAGTTGATGTTCAGACTTCCTGAAATCAATTCCTGAGGTCTGTTTTTTTTCACGGCAGACATTAGAAATTCAATGTTTTGCACATCACTGTTTTGTGAAGCGGGTTCTGTGCATTTCTGGTTGATTAAAAATATATATATAGAACATTCTAAACTTTATTGAAGTACCAAACACATCATAACTTTTATATTTTGTAACATTTCAGAGTTATTGTACATTTTTCTTTTTTTGTGGACTGGTGGGATTATATTTTGGTTGGTTGAAGAATAGTTCTACCATTGCAGTGTTTTTTTTTCTCCTGTTTTCTTTGTACAAAAGTTTGGAGTATAAAGGTAATCTCAGATGATGGGCCCAGTCTGCGTGGCTTGTAAATTCCACATGAATGAGTTCAGCCTCCTGAGTGTCAAGTCAATAAGAAGCTTAACCTAATGGCTTAAGTCAGCAGACTCTTTTGAATAAACATGCAGATAATTCAAGCTTGATTCAGCCATGGAGTTCAAAGATTTTAAATAAAGGCATATACATTTGCTGGGATGATGAAAGTCAACCTTCTCTACCCAGTCCTTGTGGGATATATAGGATAACATGCTATTGTGAACTGAATGCTGTAGATCAGCCATTAAAAAAAAACTGCAATATCAGTAGTTCCTTCATTCCACAAAGCGGGTTCTTATTTTGAGACAAGGGGATATAGTAACTCTTTGACGTTTTCTTCAAAATGCAAGGAAGTTTGAATTGTAATTCTTACATTGTCAATGAAGCATCCAGTCCTTGTAGTTGAGCCTACATTTTTATTTTGCAGCATAGACAATCTACTTTAGAGTGTTAATCTCCATGTTCTCATTAATATGTTTTTTGTCATACAGTATTGTTGTGAAAAGTCTTTTTTTTTTTTTATCTGTGTGTGATCCAAGTGCAGCTCTAACCTATTTGAGGACCTAAGTTGGTAATGCATGTTCAATTTCAGTAGGCCTGCAGACACTGACTTCGCGGGACATCTCCCTTCCTTACATCAAGACGTTATGTAATCGCGTCCACTTCGGCGTAACTGACTGACCTCTCATCACGTGACTACCGTAACTGGCTTTCTTTGTACAGTCCCACTTTCTAATGAGCTTTAATGAATGATTAAATTAATTACTGGATTATTGTTTTTCTCCCCACAACAGTTGACTTACAAAAAAAAAATGTAAGTAGTTAATTTGTGAAAAAAATAAGTAGTTGGTATATAAAGAAACCAGATTTTGATATTAAATGAAGTTCTTTGTAGACAATACAATTTGATACTTTGGATTCTCTCCCTGTGAGTTTATTTTAGATTTTTTTTATTACTTTTTGAAGCAGCACTTAAGAATAAAGTTGTTTTTTTTTTCTGAAGTAGCTGTTACATTTCATCCAAATGCCAAATAAATTGTTCCATGAAGGAGAAAAACTGTTCTGAGTCTGATTCAGTTTTTGTTTTTAAAGGTAGTTGTCAGGAAACTGATTACAACTTTCTGACAATATTAACGTAACCATTACAGTTGGTTCATGAATCTAGTTCAGAGACTAAACCTATTGTACAAGACTTGTTTGCATTGCTTAGATTGTTTGAAGGGAAGAAATTTAGTAAGACAGTGCTACACAGAAGTTATGCAAACTGCTTTTTTTTAAGTTGTAAGGTTTTGCTTTGTTACACAACGAAATGTTTTCAGACTCCCACATGTAGCAGATGCAATAAAAAAGGCCTTCTGTCTTGAGTCAGATGTCCTGCATGACCTCTTTATGTTTGCAACAGGTTATTGGAATCTTTAAACAACCTCTTTTGAAACCCTGGATGCACTTAGGGGTGCCACACCTGCTGTCAGTATTTAGATTCATTGGCATCATTGCTCTTTGTTGACACAAGAGAATTCTTGAATTCTGGAAAGGTTCTGGCCCAGAGAATCTGTGTGACCAACGTGCGTGTTACATCGGGTTCAAGGATCTGCTGAAGGACCTCAGAGCCAGGAGAACTCCGATCCTGTATGGACAACAGCCCCGGCACATTTTGGAGGTCAGTTTTAAATTTCTGCCTGCAGGAACAGATTAAGTTGGCTAAACTAAGGTATAAGCGTAACGTTGAGTGTGAGATGAGTAAAGGTAATTCACACTCTCCATGCTAGGGTATCAAGTTAAGGGTGAGACTGCATAAGAAAGGGGGCAGGAGCATTAGCACAAGTGGACAAACAGATCCTGACTTTGCTGATGAATTTTGAATCAATTTTATGTTTGGTTTAACGTTTGACCTGCATGATGTTAAGGCTTATAAATCATTAGGTTGTGTTAAGGGGAGAAAAATCCAGGTTGGGGGTAGAGTAGTGCAAATGTGTGTTAGACAACTGTGACATTTGTTTTCCCTTTCTTTTCCAATTGTCATTAAAGCAGCAAAAGGTTCCTAGGTTCTGGAAAGAATCAGTTGTCGTCCCAGTGGCCAAAGTCAAATTTCCTGACCTCGGTGGTTAAGAAAACGTTTGTAAAGATTGTGAAAAGGATCAGTTTGACCCACTTCAGTTTTCTTATAGGGCAGGTAGGGATGTGGAAGGTGCTGCAATATGCCTTCTTAACTTTGTCCTCCAGCATCTTGAGGAAAATTAAACTCATGCTGGGTTGCTATTTGTGGAGTTTGTTTTCTTCAGCATTTAATTGTATTCAACTGCATTTACTGGCAACTATGCTATTGTCTAACTTTGACATTGATCTGAATCTTGCCAGCTGGTTTACTGATTTCCTTATTACAGACACAAGTCAGAGGGTAAGAGTCAGTAATGCTTTGTCTAACAAGCTGTTTTCTTCTACTGGCTCTCCCCAAGGATGTGTGCTGTCTCTCCTCTTTGTCCTGAATACAGATTATTGTAAAAGCCATCACCACTCAAGAAGCATAATTAAATTTGCAGGTGACTCTTAGTTTGCCGCACACAGATGAGGGGACCATGGGCCGGTTGTAGATGAGCCAGATGTTTGCTTGACTTGGTGTGAGCAAAGCTGTTTGATGTCTCTAAACCCAAAGGCTTGGCAATTGTTTCCAGGAAGAAACCCTTAGACCCTCACTCAAACCTGCATCATGGTTGAATAGGTGGCCATGGTTGGGTCAATAGGAGTATTTCGGGGCTGTTCTCGACTGCAAGTACGATTCTGAGGCAAACGTCCAATGTGTTTTTTTTTTAAAAAGGGCAAAAGCGCTTATTTTTCTTAAGAGAGCTGAAGCATTTTAAGGTTGACAATTTGCTGTTGATCAAGGTTTAATCAGTCTTTTATTTAATGTGCTGCAACGTCTGCCCTGACCTGTGTGTTTGGTCAAACCATGCCAGAAAAGTAATTGGTGCTGATCTTTTGGCCTTACCCCAAGTCTTAGTTACAAGTACAGTTACAAGTAGAATGTCTCTGGTCTTCTTTCCACCCGAGCCCTTAATCTCCTAATTAAACTCATTATTTGAAGTCATCAGAGTGAGAGATAAACAGAGAGTTAAACAGGCTAGATGGACATTCCCTAGTCAGTAACCATGCTCGTGTTGACCAAGCTTGAATATCCACTTTGTATGTGTATGGTACATCATTTTATATATTATTTTTAAAAACAGAAATATTTTAAAGTTTAATATTTCATAAAGCTTTGGGTTTGTTCCTTTGTTTTGGAGACAATTGAGAAGGAAAGAGAAGGAGGTTACGTCTTCTGCTTGGGGAGGGGAGAATGCTTTTGACTTGAACTGAAAGCTGGGGCAGCCGAAGACTCTCGAGCTTTACTGCATCACCGCTCAGGCTGCTTTCCAATCAAATACCAGAACAGCTCCCTCTTGTTAACAAGTCAACCGAGAAGACGGTTTGCTTTTTTTCATTACTGAACGGTCATCACACTTCCTAAGCCATAAAACACATTTTCCCTAGCCTCTTCCGACAATTAAATATAATTCACTCTTAATTTTCTGCATTTTAGTTTTGGAACAGTGCTACCGTTGTGCTAGCAAACCTCTTCCCTGTGTATCAGACTACAGTGTCTTTCTGTGAAAGAATGTACATTGTTGTTGAATATGGTTTCAAAAGCTTGGTTTCTAACTTAATGTTATATACAATATTTGTACTACGTTTGACGTGATTGGAAATCTCCACGCACTTCTTGTTTATGTAGTGTCTTGTCACTGATAGCAGTATTGTATCCGCCTAGTGTTTTTAATGGTGCAGAGGTAATAATGAAGATGTACAGTACCTGGCAAGCTTTGATTCCTGTCAATGTGGAGATATAAACTCCTAAGAGAAGCTTTGACCAGTTTGTGATTTAGGTTTAGACGTTCATTACAGAAATTAAGAAAACTAAGACTGAAAGATAAAGAATGAAATGTAATTATATAGGTGTGAAAGTGCCATTTTTGCTGCTCATTAATAACAAGCTTCAACAGACAATGGGATGGGACTGTGTCCGGCTGTTAGCGGAATCTCTCTGTTCACATGGTCAGATTCTTCCAGGGAGACTGAAACAGAATGGTAGGGTCTCTTTATCTAGCATCCTCTTGGCTCACCCACCACGGCTTTTGTGAGTCAGGTCTGTGCACGGCGATGCTAATAAAGGTGTGAATGCTAAGTCAGTCCTGCCCTGGCTTACTCTCTCTTACCAGCATCAATGCTGGTCTTTGTTCAGTGGTGGGGGAGCTGCCCCTGTCGGGGCACAGAAACAATAAGGAAGGTTTCGAAAGAAAGCCTGCCTTTCAGCTCTCCTGGAAATTCTTCCGCAAAATGTAAGCACTGTGCGAACGTCATTTCGATTCAGATTATGCTTTTAAAAGTGGGCTGGATTTTCCCTCGATCGGCTTTGCAACAGTGGTATTTTGCCACTGGCTGTCGGTATGTATCCAGCTCAAATGCCAGTGTTGGCGTTAGGTTTTAGGTCCATCTCCTGACAGCTAGAGGCACTGCATCATGCTTGTTTCACGGCAAGCCCTTGTTATCTAAGAAGAGTAGAAGCTTGTCTTCACTCCACAGGCTCGAAATGTGGATGTTTTGTTCTCTTTTCAGAGAAGATGACTTTGCAGCTGACATTTTAGCTTGGCGTTTTTTTTTCTTTTCAAGAGCAGTACTTGAACTATAACCTATAAAGAGGTGAAGGAAATGCAGTATCTGATTTCGTTCAGTCAATCAAGGAAAAGGTACCTCCAGTGAAATCCTGAGTGCCCAGTACTGGCAAAACGCTAAAAAATGAAAGTGGGAAAACACTGCACACCCACATTTCTCTATGAACCAATTTCTTCTGTATTGCCGGTTAATTTTAGCTGCAGTGTTGCCAGGTGATGTACAGGTAACAGCACATATTGTGAAATGCAATCATTGCATGTTGATATGAGTCATAAGATATCTCGTTTTTTTATCTTAAAAAAACATGAGAAAGTAAACAGTGCAGAGGGCACACAGCAGTGTCGAAAACGTCTTAGGGAGTGAGGTGCGTTATCAAGCATTACAATGAAAGCAGTGTCTTATGTCTGACAGGTGTACTGAGTGGGATACAGATCCCTGCATGATGTGTTTCTGAGAAAATGTCAGGTGAAATACAGGTAAGAGGCTGAACACAGCTCACAGCTTTGGGTAGGGCTGACCTTGGAGATTAAAATATGGTGAGGGATGTCTTGAATTTTATCATCGCTTAAGCCTTTAAATGAAAATAAATACATAGTTTACTTACATACTTTAAAAAATACCTAATAAGTTGACTGACTTTACTTTTGCTTAGGAATGATTGAATCGGAGAACAGGAGAGGCGTCCTGGTGCTGAGCGCTCCTTGTTCACTGTTCCTGCGCTGCCAGCTCCTATTCCTGCTAATAGATTAAAAAAAGGATTTTCCCACTCTGTTTGCGTCACACCCCAAATGTCAGGGTGGTGTGCGGCTCTAAGTGGGCAGGATTTGTGTCTCCCCCCCCCCGCCTTGATCATGAGGGAAGCCCTGTGTCTCGCCAGAAAGCGCTCTGCTCCAGCGAGCCCAAAACACGACGGTTTGTCCACTTGGCTGGTCCCTGCATGGGCTCCAAGTAACTTGAGCACTTTCAGAGCAAGGAGGAAAGTCCCCTGTTTCGGGACTGAAGTGTAATTGGATATCGAGCGGAAATCACAACTGCAAAGGCCTGTGTGGGCTCACAAAGGCTTAGGAAGTCGGAGAAAGTCCATGAATCAATATCTGCGTATACATTTTAATTCTGCGTCAGTGGGGCTCTATTTTTAACATTTTGGATCTTCTGTTGTTGACCAGTCTTTACAGAGCTCATAAGACATTTAGTGTAGACAGGCAATCTTGTTTAACTCTTGATTTAAACTAGTCGATTTAAGATTATGCAGTTTGACACAGATTTGGTGACTACGGTTATTGACACTATCTGACTGAATGCTCTGGGGCGTTGCCATCCCCCTCCAGCACGTTTTATAGACCACCGTTTGATCATCAGGTGATTTGTTTTTAAATTAAGAAAATGTAGAGACCCTTTGGCCCTCAAGGACTAGAGTTTTCTCAATTAAATTACGTAATTTATCAACATATCGGATACCTAAAAGTAGTATACAGTATATATATACATCTCCAATCGTCTCTCGTAAAAAACGATAAATAAAAAATAACAATAAAAATACTTTTTTGGCACAATTCAAAAGATCAGCACCATGGAAAGCTCTTGTAATTGACAAAATCCACCTCTAGGGGGTGGTATTAACTCTTTCAAACTGAGGAATCATAGCACAACTGGCAACCAAACTTGGGAACCAGTTGTCAGTTCACTGGTTCCTTATGATCCAGCCCTTTTCCATGTAACAGATGGACTGGCAAACCAACGTCTGCCAGACATACAGTTGTACAAAAATGGAAATAGTGCCTCACTAAGACAGACCTAAAATAGTGGTCAAAACATTTGATCGGAATGATTAATTGTAATCCTGAGCTACACTTAAAGTGGGATGTCAGGGTTGACAGTCTCTAGCTTAGTAGCTCAGGTGGGTAGCTGCATCAGCATGCGTAGGCTGCAAAGGAACAAGTAATAGGTTTATTCCATGCTGAAAAAAAGAGAAGAGAGAAAACACAACGTTTCTGCCGTGGAGCCTTCTTCAGGTGTCACTCTGATTCTTTGAGTATTTAACAGTCCAGCAAGAAAAAAAGTTTAGCTAGTGTTTCCATTCAATTCTGCATTAAATTCAAATGTTAAAAGTACATTTGATTTGTACAAATGTGCAATTTCTTCATGGATTATAAAAGGAAAGTAACAAAGTATATTATACTGTGCCATCATAACCTGATCTGTATCAGGCGACAGGTGACACCTGAAGAAGGGTCCACGGCCAAAACGTGTTTTCTTTCTTCCTTTTTTCAGCATGGAATAAACCTATTATTTGTTCCTTTGCAGCCTCTAGCTTAGTTTAGCCTGTTGAACCCAATAAGAGGAGAGCCCCTGTCATGCTCGGTAAATCTGTCGCTCTCTACCTTGAACATGTAATATTTATGATTTGAGATTTGCTATCAGATTGAGTTTGTTTAACATTTTTGTTTGATTAGAGTTGTGTTGATCTAAGCCTCTGTTTTCTAGGTAATTTTTTGCCCCATCTGCCATCCAGAAAAACGTTTATACCCTTGTATGTTCCTTTTGGTGACCAACATCCGTAGTTTACCGGGACAGTCTGTAGCGCCTGACGTGTGTTGTGGTGGTGCAGAAGCCCACAGGCTGCATGTCCTCCTCGTGGTGACATGGGGTTTGTCTGGGTGCACCAGGAGCCCAGAAACGTGCCGTCTGTGTTCATTGGCGTCCCACAATTGTGTGTGAGCCCTGCGATGAACTGGTAACCAGCCCAGGGTGTATCATTATCTCATTGTGTGACAGGTTAGGCTATGGCTCACTGTGGGAGATCCTGTATTAAACTCAACAATCATTAAAAGTGGATGGATTTTTTGGTTTTTAATTTGATACCTGGCAGTGTTAAAAAATAATTATATGTAGTATTGTCCCTTTAGTATCTGCCCTTCTCAGAACCTTTGTTATTGATGAGACGGTCTGAAATAAAAGACACTTCCCAGAGAGAAAAAACAAATTACTGGCAAAGATTTTCACCAGGTACAATTTGACACTGACATCTTCGTGACATTTTAACTTCCTGAAAATTCTCCACTTTCCGCAATGATGATACGCAGATAAAGACTTTTTTCTGTAAACCGAAACATGAAAAGACGTCAGTGAGAGGCTAAATGTTTCCTTTTCCCAATACTGTGGTTAGAAAGAAAGCTCGATAGAATAAATACCCTTTATAGTGTCTCAGTTAAAATTTAAAATACTTAAAATCGAATTGACTTAAACCTAAAACCTGATTGATTCTACACCAAAGGTACTATATGTGTTGTGTACCTTCAAAAGAAAACAACAATATAATTTGATTATCATTAAACAAGTCTCCATGTAGATTTTACGACAAACTGTGCTCTCTAAATTCAATGCAAGCTAATGCATAATGAACTGCCTGGTAACTGCTTACCTGTTGTAGTTTATTTCTGTATACAAACCAATGGCATACCATTACTTTGAGATTCTGTTTCTCCAACAATGCTATAGTTTGTTTAAAATCTGTACACAATCAAGCACAGTCGTCCCCAAGAAAAACAAAGACAAGATCAGAAGGCCGCTAAATGAACAATACTAGATGGGTTCTCCTCACTAGGTAAATGAACTTGAATGTACACGTGTGTGGCTATCTAGCTTTGAAAAGACTGGCATGCCCATAACACTGCAACTGCATTGTAATTGAATAGGTGTTCAGTGATTACTTTCACAGGTAATAACATATTTTCAGAAACAATAACCGTACAAATTGTTTATCAAATTCTTTACTTTCACTGACTATCTTTTTGTTCGCACAACAATAGCTAGAGATGATACAGATCAGGTTATAATAGCACAGTATAATATACTTTGTTACTTTCCTTTTATAATCCATGAAGAAATTGTACATTTGTACAAATCAAATGTACTTTGAACATTCATATTTAATGCAGAATTTAATGGAAACACTAGCTAAACTATCAGTATATCATAACTCATATATATGAGTAAATAACAGTATGTGGATACTGCAAATTTAAAAGGCAGACGCTCAGCTATATTGATTGTGTAAATGATACCCAGCGTTATTTTTTTCTTGCTGGACTGTTACATTTTCAAAGAAGCAGAGTTGAATCCAACTGCGAAAAATTACTTGTAATGTTTTAGGGTTTGGTTACACACTTTAGAGTTAGAATTAAGGAAACACATACAGTGTATTAACATATACTCCTGTCTTGGGAAAAAGTAATTCCTTCACTTCTATGCAAAAGAGTGTTTTTATTTAAAAGGTCTTCTTTCAGCTTAAGTGCGAGTATACTGGTTATAGAAATAGAATAAATTACTGAGACCTCCAGTGTGTATTGGAATTTTGTCAGATGTATAGTGATTTTGAAAACTAGCATATTAATATGTACATTTTGGGAACTATTGGTTACATAGTATTTATATACGTTTTTTTTGGGCTGCATTACCAAACTGTCTCTCCCGTTAACAGCAAGTAAAGGCCTTGGGCGATTTGATATTTCATAATGGCCACACTCGATTCTGGTATGGGCCAAGTACATGGCCTATGAAAATTTTATAAAATGCAGTAAAAGGCCTTCGATATAGTTTCGCCTGTCGAGACATAACGTTTAAAAGAAAACGGTCTCGCTTTTCGTCCTTTTTAAACGGAACAGCATCGATCTCTCGCCCTCCACGCTCACCAGAAATTAACGGCCGTTAGGTAACGGCGGATGTGAAAGGATACCAACCAATCACCAGCGTCCGTTCTACGCTCTGACCAATCACGGCGCAGACAAATTTTAAAAAAACATCGTCGTCGAAGTCTTAACGATCTGTCGCTCCAGCCCGGCGAAGACGAAGGTGGGTAACCGCTCATTTAACATTGCTCGCATGTAGAAACCTTTTGCAAAACGTAAACACTTATTTAAAAATGCATCGAATCTATGATGTTATTTTTTTCAAAGTTTTTGTTTTTCGCAAAATGTCCATATACGATCCATGGATTTCATGTTTCACGGCTGTTTTGGTGCAGTTTAAAATTATTTTTAGCGCCTTATTTGCTTACCATTATTTTAAATTATTATCTGTAAATCGGTATAGGTGATTGAGAATACAGTACATCACTGGGGGGTAAGAAAAATCCAAGACTGGGGACCGGATTAAATAAAAAAAAAATTCTCTGCCCACACTACAGAAATACGCAAATCTTCCACTCGCAAATTTCTCAAGTGTAATTTCTCATGTTTGGCCCTTTGGCGTTGACATTTGTATTTATGCAGGAACTGGGTCAGGATGAGGCTGAATAAATTCTCTGAATCGCGTTTTTTTTCACCAGAGATATGTGCCTTTTATATTATTCATACACATTGGATGCATTTTATTCTTTTGTGGATTATGCTGATCAGATCAATATAGCTGACCTCGGTTCGTGGGAAACTGAGGCGGGCTGGTATAAAAACAATGTGCTTTACAAGGAAATTAATCAGCCACGGTTGATGGTGAAATTGCATGATTTAGATCCCTGGTCCTTTATTTTAATTTCACCTACCCAAATATAAATATTGTACTAAAGATGGAACACACGGTCAGTTTGTCACAAGTCATCTGCATTAAACTTTTTCTTTATTGTTGTTATTGCGATTATATTTGCCTCAGACTGGATCGCACCATTAAGTAGCCTGTCAATCCCGAATGCGAAATTGGAAGACATAAAAAAAAGAAAAGAGTACTGTACTGTAAGTATTTCTCCCAGTCAGGCAGGCTGGCACTTCACACTGAAGTGGCTGAATACATGCCGCATATACTCAAACCAAAATGTAACTGTAGTTTACCAACCGGTCCAACATGTGAGATCTGTTGCGTGGGATTATTTAATACATCTGGGGGGCGGCTTAATTTGAATAGCCGGGCTAAATAAACCGATTGTAATGAATATTTAGTGGGAAGCATCGTCAGCTTTTGCGTTGACTTGCTGGTTGTTTGGGAGGGAAAAAAAAGACGGGGACAGCTTCTCGGGGATTTAACGGGACAGGGGAGACATCCGATGACTGAACGGGAGCTCAAAAGTGTATAAATCTCATCCGGTCGGTGCTGCGCGTTTTGCAGAGGAGGGGTCAGTTGAGGAAAGATTCTGGGAGAGGGTCCTGCCTGGACTGTTTGTTCCAGAGAAGGACACGCTGCCCATCTCCACAGGGCGCAATGGCATTGCGGAGCTCTCTGGTTCTCCTGGTGGTGTGTCTGGCGACGGGAATTGCAAGTGAAGGTAAGAGACAGGTGGTGAAACTCTTTTCACCTGCCTCCGTGTTAGTGCACGGGCAAAGCTTAGTTTAGCAACCTGTTCAAATTTGCATGCATTTGAATAAAACCCAAACCCGGTTTCTCGCTTTTCAGTTCATTTTTCATCTATTTTTAGGAAATGGAATTCTAGAACTTGTGAACTAGCCCCCTTTCCCCCTTCTTTTCTCAGTATATTGATTTCATTGTGTTATTTTGTTAAACACCTAGGCAAGAGAAGTGTCTAAATGCGAGCTTAAAGTGTAATTCATGGTCTAAATTTAGTCTGCCGCTTGAACACCTACACAAGAGCTGGTTTATCAGTCTACTGTGTCTACATGTAAATGAACTGCCTGCTTTATGATTTCTGACGAACACCTTACCATTTTTAAGGTGTCAGGGAAAAGGAGTCCCGTTTTAGTCAGGATTCTGCTATCTCTCTTTAGACTTGTGAAGATAAATTTGTACAGCTCCTGTTAAGTTTTGTTTGACAAAAAAAAAACGTTGGGAAGCAAGCCAAATGAAAGTCTGAAAGGTTTGTCTGCATTGCTTTATTATCATTCTGCAACATACAATACAGCTGTATACAAATACACCTACAGGCAATTTGTTAAATTCTAGCAAAATCACAAATGTAGAATTGTGTTTACTACTCAAATGATTTTTGGTATTGTAAAAAAGACAGATTAAATGTATTCTTCTATTGACAGTGTTTCCTTTCTTGCTTCTGTTCAGGGGAATTCTGCTATGATGTTACTTCTGCCTGTGGTAAGTTAGTTCAATTCAGATTATTCTCAGTCTTAATTTTCAGTATTTTCACACCACATCCATCTCCCCTGCTCCTTCCTGCCTCCCCATGTATTATATTCTTAAATAAATGATTTAGTTACAATTATAGGAAGGTCAGTATTAAGTATTACACAGGTTAAGCATTACAAAGGCAGAAGTTCTGCAGGTATTAGAAATATATGTATAAACAAGTCTCTTGGTATTCCAGTAAAGTGCTAGACCAGTAGGGCTTGCTTTCAGTATGTGTAAATATATTAAGGGGATAGTTAACATGGATGTAGAAATAGTAAAGGTTTTGCTTAACTAGCATGTTACAGTTCTTTGGACAAGCAAAAGAGTAATGGACACTCATAGCACACTTTCAGAAGACTCTGGATAAAGCTCCTCATAAAAGAGTAAGTCTCAAAAGCCAAATACTGCTGGCAGCAGGGATTTAAGGTCATGCTTGGGTTTGGATTAAGAACTGGTTAATGGTCAGGAAACAGGATATAGAAATGTCATAAATGTTCTCATTAGAGTGGTGTAATTAGCGGAGCTCTTTCAGTGATACGCTTGCAATAACTAGAAATGCAGTCATTCATCTGAGCCAACATGTCCTCCTCTTTTGAATTCAGGTCCGAGTCATTGGCCAGATTTGGATTCTACATGTGGGGGGAAAGAACAGTCCCCAATCAATGTGGACCGTAAAGGATTAATGAGAAACAGCTCTTTGAATCAGATTGATTTCCAGGGCTATGACACAGCTCCAGAAGCAACATGGACAATCTCAAACAATGGCCATGCGAGTAAGTCATTTGATGAGATGGTTCATTTTGTAAACTAGATGGATAAATAGGAAGGAACAGCACATGTAGAAATATGAAGGTTTTCATATTAATTTGACTGTTTTCTCTTAATTTGGAATAGTTTTAATTTTGAGCTAGCACAGAAGATGTGCAGACTGTGCATTTAACCACCAAGATATGCACTGTGGTGCCAACAATTTGCCTGCTCTGTTAAAGAGCCTTTATTAGTTGATATTGGTTGAGCCCCTCAGGACCCTCTCCCTTAGGTTCCTTTTATGTATTAATGATCCCAAATTTTAGGAGATTAGAATTGTATGCTATTTAGTGTATATTAGAAGCCTTTCCAGATTAAAAAACAGACATGCCAATTCAGTCTTGCATTACATCACTGTTCGATTATGACTAGGATTCCCCAGGCTGTAGAGCCCAAGTGGCAGAGCGCCAGTGAGGTAGGATGATGGTTAGTTATCAAGGGTCGTCTTGACTCTTGGCCCTCTGAATTGCTGGGTGCCTGCCAGCTTGCAGTGACATCAGTGAAAGACACACTGCTCCTCCAGTTGGCAGTAACCCTCCTGTAAGGCACTATGGAGCTTACAGCTTGTCCAAAGACGAGTGGCCCTGGCTCGTGGGCATGGCGGAGGCATACACAACAGTGTACAAAAGTCTCCTGCGCTACAGGAGTCATTTTTGTGAGCTGACTCCCTAAAACAATTGGGAGCTCTATGTTGCAGGGTGAGTAGTGAAAAGTAATTTGCAGTTTCAATGCTTATAAAAGAAAATGTTTTGTTTAACCGTGATGTCTTCTGCACTCTGTATTGTTGCCACTGCGTGCTGTTAAACTTGTCATTTACAATTTTGAAGTTGTAGTAACCGTAGGAGGTGAGATGCAGATGAGCGGAGGAGGTTTGCCTACGACATACAAACCGTTACAGTTCCATTTCCACTGGGGCAGTCCTGCTTCAAAGGGCTCAGAACACACTCTCGATAAGAAGCGATATTATATGGAGGTACTGTATACTTTTTCTGATTTTGTGGTAATCAAAATCACAGAAGTTAATTGCCTGGAGCATAACATTTAAAAAGCAATGTCATAAGAAATTTGTAAACTGTTTAATTCAGGCTTGCTCTTGACAAGCTCAGTTTATGTAATTCTGGGGCGACCACTGCATCAAGCTAGCATCAGCACATGCAGTAGTATTAGTCATTAGAGTCAATTTGTCATTGGATTTGTTAACCATTATTGATTTTTCCTTTCAAACACTTCCTAACACTTTCTGTTTTTTTCATTTATTAAATTACCTGACTTGATTACTTTGTCTTTGAACATTAAGAATACCAACTTTAAGTAACTGTTCTAGGTACTGTTCTTTTAAATATACAATGTACAATTAAGTGCCTATAATCTTGCTACTGTATCAGTCAGTTCCTTGTAACTCCAGCACTTCAGCTACTGGGCATTGAATCCTCTGTATCTATTTAGGGGAATGATAAGGCAAGGTTATTTAGAGGTCAGACAATTTTTAATCTTTTGTAATGCTAATGTTATACCACTTTGGTCATTTTTGCTTTCCTACTACAAAAATGTTATGTACAGCGTAGGAAAAGAAGAACCTTAAATATGTTTTTGTTTTCTTTTGCAGTTGCACATTGTGCACATTAAGTCAGAGTACGAGGACATAGCTAGTGCCTTAAGTGATCGAAGAGGTGTAGCTGTTTTGGGAGTCTTTTTGGATGTAAGTTCACAGCCTTTTAATATATTTCTGCCACTTTTTAAATTAATAGATATTCTATGTTTCAGTTGCATTTAATCTCATTCTGTGGCAAAGCTTTCTTACTGAATTTCCAGTTAGTATTATGGGTTAAAGATAAATGTTCACAGTAACTTTGGTTACAGAAGGTTAGTCACTTTCAGAAAACCATAAGCAAATTTTGTTCTGAAGCAAAAGGGATTAAAACTATTGGTTTTGGCAGAATATCAACTTTTTTCATGTACTAAACATATTTTAGATAACTAACGTGTCTTTACTTTGTTATAAGGTTATACAAATTTGATGGTTGGAAAAATGACCTGCAGTACCTGTTATTAACACATTACAAAGATAAATCCTATCTTCTAGAATTGATGTTCGGAAGAAGAAAACGGATTAGATAGCAAATGTGTTAAACCTTAAACAATAAATTTATTTCTGATTTTTTTTATTTTTATTTGCAGGTGACTGACACTGATAACGGTAACCTCAGTACTATCACCGATGCACTACCAGATGTTATCTACAAAGGTTAGTGCCTGTCTTTACCCTGTTTCAGTATACAGCCTTTGTTTGTGACATTTTCATGAGTGTCAATTTGAAAATTGTCTGGAATATAATTAACCAAATTCAAGTAATTTATTCCCAGAAACCCTTTCGCATAGTGAAAATTTGTAAAAAGAAAATCATTTTCCATTCTATCTTATGGGGAACAATTACAATCCATTACAGACCCCAGAAACTCCACCACTACTTTTACTTTTTTCACCCAGAAATGACCAAAGAAACTAATTCTTAACATTCATTCTGTGGTTTGTGTTTTTAGTAATAAAAACACTGCTTACCTAGTTACTTCATTAATCATACTTTAGGACAGTACTGTATAGTAACCCGTTCATTTGCTTTTTGTGAAATTACACACACACTCACAATTTTTCCAGCTTCTTAACACCTTTAGGGTCCATGATCAAGTCTAAATCACAGTTTTTGTTCCACGAAAAGTAAGACTGCACAGCGAACACCGAACAATGCAGGAAGCACGACGCGGTGAACTGTATCACACATCTCTCCTGCTTCTCCGCAGGCCTTAGCTGGCTCTTACCCATGCTAGTTAGGGGAATGTGTTGCGCATACTCAATATGAAATGGGTCGTATGACACCCTCCTCTTCACTCTTTACATTTGGCGGAGGTTTTGAAATGTTTCTTCGTATTGCTTCTTCCTAGTTTCGAAGTTAGCTTTCGTTATTCGAAGGGTGCGTAACAATTCACATGCTTCATAAAATACAGTAGTATAGAATTTTCATAAAAATAAGTTTCGTAAAAAGAGGTAAGGGTGTACTGGAGAAAATAAACAAGGTCTACATACTGAGACTTAGCCTTTATGAGTTCCTCCCCACTGAGAGCTGGTGTGTGGTGAGTGTACTGGCGCACTATGGCTGCCGTCGCATCATCCAGGTGGGGCTGCACACTGGTGCTGGTGGAGGGGATCTCCATTACCTGTGCTTTGAGTGGAGTGTCCAGAAAAGCGCTATATAAGTGTAAGCAATTATTATTATTATTATTATTATTATTATTATTATTATTAATGATAAAATGTATGGTTTATAGCATACAACATGGTCCACGTGCAGCGTATTGGTTTATCCCAACCTTTATCCTCATTTTTTTGGTAGGTTCTTCAAAGGATTTGCCTGCTACATTTCCGCTGGGTAACCTTCTCCCTCCAAAACAAAATCTGACCAGATACTACAGATATGATGGTTCCCTGACAACTCCTGGCTGTAATGAGGCTGTCATCTGGACAGTGTTTGAATCACCCATCAAGATTGGCCTGGAACAGGCAAGTTTAATTCTACAAACATTCATACTTTATTTATATAACATACTCTAGGCTCCATCTTGACTTTTAACAGCACAGTGAATTTCTAATTCATATGGAGCACAATTAAAAATAATAAGCAATAAGCAGATGACATAATCCTTACTATAAATCATCATTAGTGAAATGTATATAGAGATGAATTCTGTGAGTAGTCTCCATGTAAATAGAAGTGAAAGTATATAAGCTACACCTTTAATATATTGCGGCATTCATAAGCATCTGTGCATGAAGGTTTCTTGTCAGAATGCCATGAATTCCTCCTCTTCGCTAATTACAAATATAAGAGAAGAAGTGATTTGGCATAATGAACATCTGAAATTAAACTGAAATGACACTGGGGAGCTGCATTTCTCCCACTTATGATAAAAGTTAAATAATTATCAGGTTGTCATTAAAACATCTTTACAATAACTATTATAATAAATATAGTAATAACTTTATTATTTTGGTACATTGCAAGACTTTGATGTTGTTGATGAATGTGTATGTTTCAGATACTTGCAAATCGGATTTTTACTTCAAGCCAGATGTGTTTGGATATGTTCTCACCTCACTTTTGTTTTTTGCGCTCTTTTAGTACAAATTGTTCGCCGACACCATTCTTTCTACGGCAGATGGGGATTCATCCACTGAGAAGCTGATAAACAATTTTCGTTCTGTTCAAGAATTAAACAGTCGCACTGTTTATGCTTCCAGGGATGCTACTGTTCTCAGTTGTGGCAACATTCCACTGTTGAGCTTTGTCTTATCAGTCCTTCCATTCCTAGCTATGAGGCTGACTTAAATGTGTAATGTTCTTTTAAAATGTTTTTTAAAAATGAGTTCCCGTTGACAATACATGAGTTCTACAGTTGGGCAGGACAAAGAAAGTGTGCAAAGTTTACACATCTACAAATAGAGAATCTGTTTTTGAATCTTAAAAAAAGGTTGTATAGAAACACTACATACAGACCATTCAGGGTTTTTTATTAAAAAAAATATTTCAATATGTTTGCCAAGTCTAATTCTCAATGAATTAATATGTAATGATTACATTTAATGTTGTATTGAATTTAGTTTTTTTAAACTATTTTTAATGGATGCGATGTTTCCAATATGTGGAAATCTGAAATTAAAAGTTTGATTTCACTTTCATTGTTTGATTATCTTTGCTCAGCAGTCTTAACTTTAATCATATTACTTAAAGTTAAGTAATATTATAAGTAAGATTGTCTTTGTGTTCCTAGTTCCTAGTACTGCCCGCTCTTACAAGTGTGGATAGTAAAATACCGTAATTCTTTGTGTTTTGAATTGAAATCCCTTAAAGTCGGCAAACAAAGATGTTTTGTTTA